TAAAGGCATTATGAAAGGATTTGTGAACATTTCACTTGGAGCAAACAATCTGGTAAAGTGTTCTGCCCAAACTTCAGAGTTCTCTACATTCCACGTTTCCACAGCCCCTGCCTGCACAAATGCCTTAAGCACAGGAAAGGAAATACTGAGCAGAACAGGTGGGAAAGCTGTGATAGAGGAGAACATAATGGGTTGCTTTCATTTACCTGGGAGTCGACACCGACGCTGTGCAACACCTGTGGAACTGTTGCTTGGAATTGCTGAAAGCAGCTCTCAATGTCACACGGCAGAAGGCTCGCTTTTATCTTTGCATGTATCCCTGCCTCATTTGGTGCAGTGCAGGGTGGAGGCCATGCTGTGATCCTGCCAAATATCCTTGTAGCCTGGCCAGACAGCATTATGCAAGTCCTGCAGCATTCCAGGTTTACTCCTGGACTTTTTGAAACCGTGACCGACTAAATTTCCACTAGAATTGCAGAGTGGAAAGCGAAAATAAAGACAGCCTCCTTTTCCAAGTCGAAATGATGAAGTACTTGAGCTTCACTTACCATTGAGAGGGACACAGAGCACGAGAGTGTCTTTCTGTGTAGCCGTTAGGGTCATCGTTACATCAACAGCAAGGGCAAAAAGGAAAGCTACCAGGAGGAATCACAGTACCTCACACATCCACACACACCAGGAGAAAAGAAAGGGAAGGAGTCACACGCCAGCAAGAGAGAAAGAACACCTCTGCTAGTCTACACACTGTCAAACACAGGAACTGTGGTGAGTGTTCAGGCATACATCTTGCTGGGTTCTGTTGGGTACCAGCAGCCCAACAGGGATTTTGAAACAGACCACGGTATTCCCAAGACAAAAGGAAAACATGGAGCCTCTGAGATGGAAAAATGTCCTAGAGAAATAAAGCAGCTCCCCCCTCCCTTTGTCCCCAGACCTGTACAAAAGGGACAGACACCTCTGAGAAGTCACTGTGAAGTGCCACCTCTGTTTGCTCTCACGGTTTGTTAATGAGCAATCAGCTCACTCGTGTTACCAGGCAGTATTTACCTGTAGGCACACAATTAACACATCAGCTGCTTGGGTCAAACGTGTGAGGCACCAGTAGAAACCAGGCAGGACCAGGACAGGTCTTTGGGGTTCTGTTGATGTTGTTGGTGTCAAGTTTTGAAAAATTCTAGTGGTCAAACCTACAGACAGTGTTCAGCCCTGGTGCCATAACAGTCACTACCACCTCCTACAAAGTGTCATCCATCATGTCTGAGAAATTCTTCTTCCATAGACAACTCACACCCCATAGCTAATGCTTGGATCATTTCCTTTGGTCTGGCTACCATGATGACACAATATTGCATAGAATTAAGAAATACTAAGTGAAAAAAAAGAGGCGTAAGTTTCTCTTAGCGTGACTCAGACGTGACTACATAGTAGGTTCCTTCAAATTTAGCATTTGCTTTCTGTTGTGAATGCTATCTTAAGACTCTTCCCAAGGCAGGCCAATGGAAAATGCATAGAAATAAATGTGGAGGCAGTTTTAGCCAGCAATACAGGGTCCCTGGAGCAGCTGTGGGCAAAACCTGTGCTGGGCTTTGGGCTCATGAATTCTCCCACTGGCCTGCTGGCCCATGCCCATGTCCTGTGTGCTCGGTGCAGCCCCTTTTGTACGGGACATTGGTGCAGCTCTGGCCGGAATAGAACAGGCAGGGCATTCAGGCTTTGGGTTGGCAAAGAAACAAGTTCATTTACAGAATGTAAAACCACCTGCAGTGGAGTCTTTGTGCTGCCTGTGGAAATCAGCCTGGCAGCGCTCCTTCAATTGACACCTTGAGGTGCTCCGCACATTCACTGCCCCGTTTTCCCTCCTCCTCCATTCTCACCACCAAGGAAGCTGCACCAATGGCTTGCTCAAAGACCCATCGATCCATACAGCTGCTCAGTTCCAGAGGCTGAGTGGTTTCAACGTTGTACAGAACAGAGGGTCTTAAAGACAATGCTGGGCAAACTGGACAAACCCAGAAACTCACCTCCAGAAACAACAAAGCAAGGAAAATGCTAAACAGAAAACAAAAGTCACAGAAATAAGAATGAAACAATGGGCTAAAATTAAAGCACAATTGCTCATGTTAAACAAATACTCCGTTCTAAAGCAAACTGCAACAATGACAGAAAGATGCACCATCCTAGTTTTTAAATCTTGAAAAAACACAAAACAGAAAGGCCCAAGCGGGATAGAGTTCACCAGGTGAAGAAAGAAATTGTGGTCAGAAGAACTCATTCGTGTAAGTCCTTTGGTGGAGCAGAAGACAGAGACATCCTGGGAGAGCACTGAGTTATGAGGTACAAACTAAGTGCAGGCTGAATATTGTAATAAAGCACCTTGAGCCAGTTTGCAAGACAGATGATATCTGGATGCTGCTGTAATAATGACTGTTTTATCAAAACAGACCCCTTTATACAGCAGTGCTGCACTGCATATCAAGCAATAAAACAATTTGTGGATCACGTGGGGCTGTGAAGGTCACAGAGCAGGTTGACAAAGTAAATTAGCAAACTGGTTCGTAAGTCCAGGAAATCGTATTTTGCAAATGATGCAGTAAACATTTCCCAGAGCTGAGCTGCTGAGAGGCCTAAATAGCAGAGAGCAGAACAACCACTGCAGATGAACTGCAGGGACATGAGCACGCAAACCACAACTGTGCTCTGTATTTGCATAGCAAAAATGCTAGAGGTGGAGAAGCAGGTACACTACAGAGTATGCAATGGCCTTGAAGGAGGCTTAGAGGAAGGTGTGCTCTCACAGTCCTTGATGTGGGACTGACAAAGGAAAGCAGCAAAACAGCAAGCACAGCACTTCACTGGTGAAACAGGATGAGCAAGGGGACTTTCACCAGCCTGAGCCCCAGGACGGCTTTAGCACCTCTGCAGGAGGTGGACAAGCACACCGGGATGTGAATATCATTGAAGAAATGCAAGTCATGGTGCCCTCTGTGTTTCAACACCTGACAGACCTGGTTTTGTTGGTGAAGGCAGAGAAAACGATGATGTTCTCAGAGTACTGACTCATGACACAGATGCTCACTGCTGTAGAAAATCATTTTCCTACATTTTGAAAATAAAACTGAATTAGAAAAAACAAAAGCAGTAGTTCTAAGGGTAAACTGGTAACGCAGATCCAGAACTGGGTTTGCAGCTGGACCTTGGTGTCTCAGTCCCAGCTTTTCCCTGACTTGCTCACCAGCCACTGCCTTTCTCTTAAACCAAAGCACAGCATCACACCACACACCATGAAGAAAAAAATCTACTGAAACCAGGACAGGTTACCCAATTCCTACAGGGCTTTGTTTTTGGCACTGATGTTCCCATATGCCAAGAATCCTGTTTCCAAGCATGCCCAGCACCTTTCCATTCTCCGTGGTGTTGAGCCATTCATGGTTCCTCACACCAAATCTATGGTGGGATTCCATCAGCATGTCCAGGCTTGAATAACAACAGAGTTTGATTTAACAAGTCTTGCCATCAACACAGCATCTGCTCTGCCTTCAGGACCATAAGAAGTACCAGGGTATGTCCAGCTGTCAACCACGAGTCCCTGCCACCAGCCCTACTGGGCAGGATAACAGTAGCTAAGGCATCAGTGCTGCAAACCCTAAAGCTGTAGCTGCTATGTGTCTCTGGTGTTCTCACTACGGATTAATTTCTACATTAAATATTGCTTTGGCATGCAGTCATTAAACACTTTTTGGATCATCAGCCAGCAACCCATCTGTACTTCTATTTCTCTCTCACAGTACTCCTAGCTTCTCCCTTGCCTCCTGTGGGTTACTATCCATTTGGTCATCAACCTATTGACTTTCTGAGTGGTTTTTTTGGTTGTTTTTTTTTTTCAAACTAAAGCTCAGCATGCTTTGCAAGTGCCCTCTAAGCACCTCAGTGGCACCACAGGGAGAGGTAGTGGATGGCCTTCAATACAGCACATGTTGCTGCCGTGGTTTGTAGATGTGAAAGGAACAGACTGCACATCCACGTGTTCACTTGTAAGCCTGCTTTTACACATGGCAGGATCTAGGCAGATACAATTTCAAGCAAAAAGAACCAGAAATCCATGATTTTGTACTCACTTTCAGTTTTGGTCACAAAACTGCCCCTATGCTGTAGAAAACCAGGTGAAAACCTGGTGAAAAAGTCAAGGAACAAGGTTATTTTAAGTGACTAACAATGTGGTGAGAAATCTTAGCTCCATTAAAGTGCTTTTTCTGGGTTCTAAAAAGTCTTCACACGCACTGTACTGTTGATTAAAAATAGAAGAAAGTTAGCATCATTATCTTGTGCTACAAAATAATAGCTCCAGGAAATTCATCAGAACAAAAGCAAATGTCCTTGTGTGACTTCTTGTCTAGACTGGACAGGAAATCATTGTAAGAAGAGGATTATATTTAAAACCAACAAACAGAGATGGCATAAATAGATGATTAAAGCAGAAATTGCAAAATAAAATGGGAAGGAGAAGACAGTCAAATGAACAAGATTCTTTTCTTTCACGTATAACAAACTGGCTCCATTTGGCTCATTGACTATGATGAAGTGGATTAAGCTCCCCTTTAAAAAAGGGTCCCCTGGGACAGCTTTATGCTTATCATACAATAGTTTTAACACCATTACGTACACATACCTCCCAGAATTACAAATCCAAAGTGAAATAGATGCTAACACTTCACCTGGTGAAATCTATCTTAGGACAGCTTAAAAAAAAAAAAAAGCTTCTAAATTACAGTTATAACGAGGCAAAAGATGAGACGTCACAAGGAAAAACAGTAACAAACTGAAAGAAGCACTGCAGCCCACGGTTAAGTGATCAGTTCAGTCAACCTAAAGCCCTATCAGTAACAGAGATGGTGTAAAGCATTCACAGAGTGCTACAGGATGCTCCAGTCGAACAGACGTGTGACAGCACTGAGAAGCAGAAACCACGAGACAGAAGTCTCAAATAATAAAACAGCGCTTACGCGGCTATGGACATGTTGGCTGCAGACATGGGGCTGACTTCTGCTACCTCCTTGGCCTTCTGCAGGGCGAGCTTCTGATTGGTGGCTTCCTCCATCTCCTCCTCATCCTGGTGCAGAAAATCAGACATATCAGAGCCTGCATGGTGCAACGACAACACCTAGAGTTCCCCAAGGCATGGGTGCAATGTGACCGGCACTGCTTTGCCATGAGAAAAGTGGAAATTCATTAAAAAAAAAGGCATAATCTCAAAACCTCTTGCAAGGCAGGGTTTCTCTCTCAGCAAAGAGATGGGAAACACAAGGTTTGGTCAAGTGCTCAGTGCATCTTTACTGAGAATACATCTCCCTTGGGAAGCTCTTACCTCTTCTGGGTCTCTTCTTATCACTCAGTGCTTTGGCACAACAGGGAGAGACCTGAGCAGAACTGTGACACCTCTGGGGTAAAGGCAGCCTCATTCATCACGCACTTACATGTGCAAAAGCATTCAGAAGCCTACATCCTAACAAAATGGGACACTCCCAAAGCCAACATGAACTATCTGAAGCAATAGGCCCAGCAGACAACAAAGGGTTTGACTGGCCCTGCTCACACCAGTTTTATCCCAAATACTACCACTGATTTCAGGTGTATCGCTGAGGATGGAGTGGGTGAAAACAGAAAGAAGACAGAGTAGACTGAAGCACATTAAAGGGACAGTCAAGCACAGCTCAGAAAGCTGGTCATGTTTGCGAGTTCTACACGTTCCTCAGATCACCTATGAGGGTTATTTTTTGGACTGCAAATTCCCACAGAGTACAACTGTGATTTATTTCCTCCCATCTGCTGTGATTACAACAGAACACTGCTTAAAATCAAACTGCAGGATCTTCAGGACTGGAATGAGAACAAAAAGCAAAACAAGCAGCATCCCATTCAACTCCAGTAGTCACATGGCTTGAACTTCCTTTGAACTTTCCAGCTAGTTAACTTAGATAGGAAATGATGCCCCATCCCTGGAGGTGTTCAAGGCCAGGTTGACTGGGCCCTGGGCAGCCTGGACTGGTATTAAATGTGGAGGTTGGTGGCCCTGCATGTGGCAGGGGGTTGGAGCTTCATGATTCTTGAGGTCCCTTCCAACCCATTCTGTGATTCTGTGATAAGAAAATGAGGTCAAAGTACAGACACTATGGCAACATCCACACCACCGTCAGGGAAGAACCACACGTCAAGATGACAGCAGTCAGCAGCTCCTTTGTCAAGGACCCCACACCTGCATCTGCCCTTCAGAGGGACACTGTGAAATAGTTATGCTTAAAGCAATGAAAAACAGCAGTAAGACATCCAGCTTTGAAATAGGAAGGCATGTAGGTTTATCATGGAATCGTGTGAGTTGGAAGGGGTGCTTAAAGGTCCTTTAGTCCAACCTCCCTGCAGTGCTCAGGGACCCATCCTGAAGGCCTTTTCTCCTTTAGGAGGAAAAAGAAATGATAGGTAATTAATTAAAAAATCTGGTTCCATTACAATTTCAAACCTTTCAGGCTGCCTCCTTTCCAAGCATTAACAGATCTACAACAAAAACTCTTACTGTGATGAATAAAGAATGAGACAAGCCACCAACAGAAGCCTTGCTGAAGCCTTACACCAAGTCAGCAGTCCATATTTCTCAATGGCTGACTTCCAGTGTGTGTACTGATGGCTTAGAAGCAGCCTGTAGATCAGTGCTATCTGCAGAATATGAATATTTTGAGAAATAAATTCCTCAAAGAGGAGTCTTCCAAGGTTTTTCTTTCAGCAGGTATATTGAAGCTGTTTCTTCTCTTGGGGAGCTCTTTATTTTTCTCCACCTAAAGCACCAGGTGCAGATTTTACCATCTTTATAAAATTTCTGGCTTCTATTCTATGTTCCCCAGTGCATCCATAGCACAGCGAAATACTCACTGTCATAAGGGCAGCCATCCCTAACTCAGAGCAAGCACATTCTTTATCAGATGACTGCTTAATAACATTTCTGTAGCTCCTTCTACACAGAGATCTGTGATCACTTTACGAATGTTAATTAATTCCCTGCCTGCTATGTGTGCTGCAGTGTCTCATAGGGGCATGGGATCACCCTGCTCTGTTTGAAGCACACAGGGCTGACGGTGCATGACTGAGGTGAGCTCTGAACTGTGACATGAGAGCCACCTCTGGGAGCCCCATCATCACCTCATGATAAAGGCACTGCCTACAGGGACCAAAGAAGTGTAAGCAGGAGCTGAGTTCGACATCTTCATCAAAACCACAGTTTACCACATGGTAAAGCCTGGCTTCAGTGCTAATAATAATTATGTGCATAGTTAACACCCAATTAAAGACCTCTCCATTGGGTTGGATGAGAAGCCTCCGTGGCTGCTACTCTCTTGTCTTCAACCTATAATATCTGGGGAATTCTGAACTAATTTTACGTAAAATTCACACATCCCTCCTACTGTATGTTTTTATCCAGCCTTCTCCAAGATTGTATGGAGCAGAGATCAGACGATGTACTTGAAGCTTTCAGGTGTTTTTTAGGAAGGCAGAGGGCTTCCCAGCTCACCCACCCATGGCAGCTTCCCACGCCAAGATGAAGAATGGCAGAGAATCCTAGAATGGCTTGGGTTGGAAGAGACCTCAAAGATCATCTGGCTCCAACCCTCAAGCTGCAGGCAGGGCTGCTGTGTCATGTTGTGACACCAAAGAGCAAATTGAAAGCAAATTTGGGGGACAATTTCAGAGTGTACACTGAATTAGCAAATGAGAAGAAAAACCTGTCAACACATAGGGAAAAAAAAAAAAAGCAGAGAGCAGCCTAGAGGGATTGGAGATAGTTCTGAGAAGTGTAGAAACAATGCTGACATTGTAAAGTCAGAGCCAACACAGAAAGGAGAAAGACCCAGGGATGGAGAAGCAAAGGCTGGATAACAGATCTGTTCATAGAATCATAGAATGGCCCGGGTTGGAAGGGACCTCAAGGATCATGAAGCTCCATCCCTCCTTGTGCATGCAGGGCCACCAATCTCCATATCTAACACTAGGCCAGGCTGCCCAGGGCCCCATCCAACCTGGCCTTGAACACCTCCAGGGATGGACGGGGCATCACAGCCTCTCTGGGCAGCTGTTCCAGCACCTCACCACTCTCTCTCTGTCAAGAACTTCCCCCTCACATCCAACCTCAATCTTTCCTTCCTCAACTTCAAACCATTTCCCCTTGTCCTGCTGTTATCAACCTTTCAAAGAGTTGATTCCCCTCCTGTTTGTAGGCTCCCTTTAGGTACTGGAAGGCTGCAATGAGGTCACCCTGCAGCCTTCTCTTCTCCAGGCTGAGTTCTGTAACAACCATTGGATGATCAAATTAAATACAGCTGCAGCTCTGCTGCCCCTTGGTACAGGTCACAGGGCCCAACTAGGGCAACAGTAAAGGAAATCCAAATTCACATCCAGAACTGAGAACACTGGTTAAAATGCTTCAGTCCTGATGTCTGGGAAGCTTTCTGCCTTCCCAAAATAGAGGCAGGTACAAAGTGCTTATGGTTCTCCCACAGTGTATGCAGCACTGATCTTGATTAGTTTTACAGCATAAATGTCAAGAACATCTCCTGAGATCAACTGACTCCTGAGTAACTTAATTATAACTCCAGGCCATTTTTGGTTTTGCATGATCATATTTACTTAGCAATAAATCTCTCATTCTCCAGGTTTGCCATACAATTGAATTGCTTTAATCTTTTCCCTCTGCTTTTGAAACTCCCAGAGATATTTTTTTCTCCTTTTTTTTTTTTTTGATCATAAGTAAAATTAAAGCAAAAAAAGAAGTTTCTTAAGAAGTTTTATGATTTTGCAATGCCGCTGAATCCATCAATATTTAATTACACTTTATAAACATAAACAAAGTCGGGTTTCTGACCCTTCCAGTCAGCTGCTGAAATGTTCAGGAGAAAGTGCTATAAGGATTCAGAAAGAAATGGGATGAGCTTCATTACCCAACTATACAAGCAGAAGTTTGTAAAATATAGCTGCTAAGGTAAATACAGGGCTTGTGCACCAGCAATCATTGGCTTTGAGCAGTGGGCTGTGCACACATCCACCTCCACCTCGTGAGAGCAAAGGTGTGTAAACCAAGCCCAGTGCTGCTGAACATCACTGAGTACAGCACAGCCAGGAACAAAAAGTGTGCAATGACCCGAATGCAAACTGCAGCGATTGGAATCCTTTCTGTGCTGTACAGAGGCTGTTTCCATAGGGAATGCTCAATATAAATCTAAGCACACAGCAGAGCTCCAGCAGTGACTCTTCCAGCTCGTGCCAGGACCCGGCTTTCTGCCTCTGCTGTGCTTTGGATTGCTCTGCACCTGGTAGGAGGTGGGAAGGTTCCAACATTTTGGCTTTAAACTCACTGTGACCTCTTCAAGTTGTTTTCCAGAGTTGATTGGAGAATATTAATTCTTTGATTCAAACTCCACAACACACGAAGCACCAGCATGAGACAGCAAAGGCAGCCACACACCACCTGCGACTCCCCACGCCGAAGCCTCAGACACACAAGTCAGCCAAAACCCATTAATTCTTTCGCCTCTGCTCTTGAAAAAAGCAAAAGCTACAGAAGCGTGTTCACCTCCACACAGCAGCGACACGAGCAATGCCTGCTGCCTGCCCTGGCATGAAGAAATGGAACAGTTTGCAGAAACAAGCCTCGAGAACCAAACAGAACGGAATGAGAGCGGACCTCTGGGTTCTTATCAGCAGTGTAAATTGGCACACAGAGGGACAGCGTGAATGGAAGTCTCTGCTTTTGGTCCAGCAGCTGTGGCCCAAGTTTGAAGAACCAGAAGTCACGTACTTACCTTGGTCAGCTCTTGGGCATTGGCCAGGTTGTCAACGGCGATGGCCAAGAAGACATTCAGGAGTGTATCTGTTGGGGAGCAGCTAAGGAAAAATCTTCACATAGCAAATAGAGAAAGCAATTACTCTTCTACACTACAGCCTTCTTTCTCCACTTCCAATCATGGCTATATTACTGGTGGATCCCTTGCACCACTGCTCTGTCGTCTTTATTTCTAACTCACCAGGAGTAGCATGTGCTGGGCACCCACCTGACTTCACCAGCACACGTCCTGAGGGGATACACACACCCACACACACAGGATTTCACCATCATTTATCCTTCCTGCTTAACAGAACAACTGGTAGCTCCTGGAAATTGGCCATTATAAAGGCCATGTTAGCATACAAAGACATTGGGCAACACGAAAAGGCTGAGCTGAGATCAGTGCTGTGCCACGTGCCATTGGGAGGAACTCTCATGGCTAATCACAGCAGAGGGGACGTGACAACCGCACAGCAGTTGCAAAGCAGCCACAAAGAAATTGTAAATCAGGTATCTTTGCATACAACATGAGAGCAAGCAAAACAAATCCAAGTCTTAACCAATGCCCAAGAAGCAAAAAAACATTTGCTCCCATACGCTGCCTGGTGACAGGACCCCACGGCTGCGTAAAGCTATGACTACTGCCCTAAATATGAGCATACATGCCTTTTACATTGATCTAATGTATTCACCCTCTGGAGATTCACAAAGCATTGCACTGCTGTTGCATTCATAGTCTGTTGGCCTCACCACAGCCATAGATGAGCTTGGCTTCAGCAGCACCCTGGCTGTGAGTGCTGCATGCTGAGCACCACCACTTCACATCAGCACAGCTTCAGGAGACTCCCCAGGGCAGCCAGAGAGCAAAACTTGCCCAGATCCAAAAGCTCAAGGCTTCTTGGCTTTCCTTTATCAGGAGCCCTCATCAGACTTGAGAACCTTTCAGGCCTCTCATCCCCATTGAGACAAATGCCTCCAGAGCCAAAACACTGATCAAAACCCAATCCTCTGCTTGGGGCAGTGGAAGTAGGAGCAGAGTGTACTCCTTCAGGATGTGTCTACATCCTGCAGGGAATGGGACAAGGACTCCTGGGTTTTCTCCAGGCATCCATCAGGATTTCACCACCACAAGCAGCACGGGATAGAGGGTTTTACCATGCAAGGATGATTCCATGGGGACAGCAAGAGCTGTGAAATGTGATGCACATCCACTGCGAGGGGTACGGGGCAGGAGCTCCTCGCTCCCACTGAGCCCAGCAAATGAAGAACAAGAAGGGAAAGATGATAACCAGAATGATCATCTCCCTCCCACGCTGGAGAGAGAGCAAAATCAACTTTTCATTTGCAAAGGTATCTGTGTCTCCATTTCCTTTTACCTGGCGAATGGCTGAGGGGCCACCCTTGGTGCTTCGATGTTGGAAACGCCTCCAAGCCCCAGGCTGGGGGGAAGGAATGTCTCATAACAAAGTTGTCTTCCTACCTCTGCCTCCTACACACACATGCTGAAAATGCCTCATGTAACATAATCGGCCCCTGGAAACAGCATTATTTTGTGTTTTTTTAAGCTTGGGGATGTTTTGATTAATCAAGCAGACACGTTCCAGTGGAATTGAGTGTTTCTTCCCCCCAAAAAAAGTCCTTCCAACCCTTTTGCAGAGCTTGGGAACTCCCGGACACCAAACAACCTCCATCTCCAGGCTGTACAGCCTGACCAGACACTGAGCACAGCTCTACATGCTGCAGCAAAGTGCAGAAGGCCTGGCCCCAAGCATTAGCTGCTTTTCATTTTAGGTTTTTCTTCATAATTTTTGGTCTTTTTTCTCCTTTTTCCCTCAACAGATGCACCAATTTATCAATTTACCACATAACAATGAAGAAAAGCACGGTGTAATTTCCAAGAAAATGAGCCAAGTCCTGCTGTCACTCCAGTCACACTGCTTCCATTGAACCGTTTCAGACACAGAGCAGTTGAAAATGCAAGAGAATTCTGTCTTAGAAAACCAATGTTTATAGATCTTTTCCTTGCAATGTGCTTTGAAAATACAGATTCACAGAACAATTAAGGTTGGAAAAGACCTCTAAGGTCATCAAGTCCTACCATCCGTATAAATAGATTCAAAGAAGCAACTGAGCTACAGCAAAAGCAAGGGAAAGCAATCTTGCTTCTTCCTGAAATGGAGCGATTACAGAGCCCACATCAGTTTGAAGAGCAAAGGAGATCTTCATGTTTAAAAGGAGCAGGTTTTGAAAGCTGACCCAAAATCACCAACGCCCATTCTCTAAACTGCATAAAACAATGTATTCTTACAGCTTTCTGGAGGAGATCTGTGTAAAAAGGAGAGTGGCTGCAATGTTTAAGTCCCCAGTTATAGAAGAAAAGACATTTGACATTAAGCCAATCCATAACTAAACTAACCAGCAGTGCAGGATTGCTCTGTGCTGGGCACCCTCCCACTCTCAGTAGGAAGGTGAACCCACGGCTCACATCTGTGCTTCGCCCCACTCTGCAGCATCACTGACATTAATGGCTGTTTTACTTCCAGCAAAAATGCAGTTCTGCTATTTTCTGGCAAACTGAACTTTATTTTCAGACCTTCCTGCTTATGTTTTGACAGCTAAGAATAACGTTAAGTCCCTGGTAAGTCATACAGTTCAGCTTTCACCCCAAGATAAATGACTGCCTGCTGCTTGCTCTCAGCATCCACACCGTAACTACGGAGAAGCAGAGATAGCTCTGACCTTCCTGAAAACCTGCTTGAAATACCAGCATGAGCATCTGTGGGCTTAATGCTGCAACTCCCACGGTAAACACACAAGGATTTAACCCCTTATCCTCCACTGACCCCTCTCGCTGTGTCTAAACGCCAATAGAGTCATGTGTGGTGCAGGAGAGCTCTTCCAATTCATGAAAGCAACTGATCCTCTCAGGCAAAGTCTTGGCCATGGCAAGGAAAGGCAAAGGCTGAATCCATGGCAGTTGCAAGGGGCGAGCAGGTCTTCATTGCATCCATGCGAACAACCCCTGCTGTCTGTTACTGAAACTGAAGTACAAGGGAGAAGACCTCCCTTTCAAGTGAAGGGGCAAGAAAGGAATTAATACCCTGCTCTTCAACACTGCTGTATCTCAGCTGCTCTGAGGTTAAAAGTCTCTCTCTCTTCCCCTCAGCCTTGCTGTCAAGCCTGATTACGACTTAATCTCATTTCCAAATGCCAAGCCCTGAGGACTGAGAGCAATCCCAGCTCTCCATTGACCCACTTTTCAGACGCAGCATGTTTCTGGAAGGAGCACGCTTAGGCGGGTGCCTGAGTGTAGCTGCTGAACCAGCTCACGTGTCCTGGCTGCTATTGCTCTGGCAGTGCACATTAATGGGACAAACCCCACAGACAGCCCTCTGGGACACGCACAGCTTGCACGCTGCCTGCTCTGCTGTTCCCTGCCACAGCTCCTCATGCCAGTGGAGAGATTTCATGCAATGCAAAGGGCTGAGCCTGCTTCACAGTCCATGGGCTCTGATGTCCCATGTCCCACTGCTGGCTTGTGGTCACCCTGCTGGTCACCAGGACTCACACATCCCTCTCTGCAGAGCTCCTGTCCAGCAGGGCAGCCTCCAACCTGCACAGATGTGTGCCATTATTCCTCCCCAGGTGCAGGACTCCACACTTTGGCCTTGCTGAACCTCATCACCCAACTCTCCACCCTGTCCAGATCTGCTGAATGGCAGCACAGCCTCAATCCACCCCACCGTCTGCTCATCTATCTCACACTTTCTAAACTTACCTACAAGGAAGTTATGGGAGACGACATCAAAAGCCTTGCTGAAGCCAAGGTACACAACATCCACTGCTTTCCCCTCATCTAATCATCTGCTGCTCAAGCAGAACAGAAACACTCAGCCTTATTATCCCTATTTACAGAACAAACAAGCCAGGCACACTGCCTCATATATGCAACCATTTTCAAGTTTCTGTTTCTAAAGGATGCTGATTGACACTGCACAGCTTATCGCTGCAGCCAGTGAACAGCTGGTACCAATGAACATGTAGTCAGCCAACGTGAGCAATGCTGTGCAACATCAGCCCAGCAGCATCTTCATCACAAAAGAGAGAGTGCTATCACTAATTCTGCGCTCTGCAGGCTCTCCCGTCCCTCCAGCCATTAGGTCTGAGGATCACTTTGCTTGGTTGCACATAAAACACAGCCTCCTGCTCCAAGTCTTTGCTCTGTATGACAGCTACTTCCAGCACACACCTTGGGGCACTTCTGGAGGCTCTCAGGTTCCCATTGCCCTGAGCAGGCTTTCATGACAAAGCGAAACAAAGCATCTTCATGGATGTATTTCTTAACTTGGAACAGGACCAAATACACCCAGAGCCCAAAATACAAGGGTTAGACTCATGATTTAAGTATTGTGTGAAGACATTTTCAAGCATTTGAAGTAGCACAGCTGGTGAAGCTGTCATGGCACCAAGAGACTGATGCCCAATTTACGTGCTAAAGCCATTTCAACTCTTTCTCTGCTTGGTTTAGTGTAAACTATCCACAAAGACAATCAAAGTACAGATGTTCTGCTTTGACTTGAGTTCAAATATTTTTCCTACAACATAAATGGACTCAAAATAGGACGTGCTTAATCTAAATCCATGAAAATTAAAACGAACAAAGATCCTGCTCACATAGCCACCAGAAGTGTGACACCAACAAGGACAGCTTGCCTACTGCTCTTAGCTCAGGTGCTGCAAGGAGCAAAGCCACAGCAAAAATCTGGTTTTAAAAAGTGCAAGGTTGGGGTGGGTAGGAATTAAACCATGTTAGATATTTCTGGCACCCTACAGTAGGCACTAAGACAAGGTAGTATGCAAGGATACAGTTACCAAACAACGTCAGGACGATGAAGTAAATGGAGGAGAACATCCCCGAGTGGACACCGCCCTGTGACTCTATGCCATGGTACATCACTGCGTTCCAGTCCTCCCCAGTCAGGATCTGCACAGAGAAATGCAAGAGAGAAGAAAATGACACACAGGGAAGACAAAGAAGGTACAAAGTGGGGGAGCTGGGTGATTGGACACAATCCTGGACCGGTCTCAGGCTGTGGAGTGGACACCAGCCTTGCAGCCCTGGATGGTCACAGCTCACACACAGCTTTCTCTTCTGCTGCCTCTTGGTTATGCGTATGCTTTCCACCTCTGGCATGGGCTCCCATGTAGAAGTCACATCCCAACACGTCTTCCAACCCATCTCCATTTTTAAGTCACGCAGAGATGTCAGGTTTTAACAATTCCACGTGCAGCTCATGTCTCCAAAGAAAACTCTGACATCCAAGCCCAGTGCCCTGAGTGCTTCATCTCCTCTCATTTCAACTCAGAGTTTGCTCAGTCACGACCCAACAGTCTATAAGCACTGGGTCAGCCACATAACAGGAGAAACACAGCTAAACAAACTCCATCCCACTACTGAAAGCCCACTGTTCCCCAGACCCTCAGGGCTGCAAACAACCTTGCTGCAGCTGATCATTTCTCCAAATGGAAAACCCTCTAGCACAGCCACTGCAAGGTTTGCACCACAATGGCTCTTTTTCCTAAGGCCAAAGGATCCTCAGTCAACCAGGCTCCAGAAAACCTAAGCAGAAGCAATATCCAAATATGAGTGAGGATAGCAAGGGACAGTTTGAAGGAGTCTCTGCTCCTCCTGCATCCTTGTATGAGCAGAGCCCTGAAGAGCTGCGCTGGCTGCAGGATGGGATGCTGACCCAAAGCTGATTAGCAAACATGAATAATACAAAACTCATTTTAATAAGTGGAAGAACCTAAGCCTTAAATAAGCCTTGTCACTCTAGATGCTAACTTTGCACTATCCTGAACCACCTGCCATTCCTCACCAACACAGAGCAGCAGATTAGATTTTCACCTGCCCACCATGGCCAATCCTACAGATTACATTGAGATTCATTACAATGAGAAATGCCCACTGCAATTAAGAGCTCAGATACCTAAGGAGGAAGCTGTCTATGTGCTTAGTACAAGAAAAAGCAAAAAAAAAAGCAACAATAACAACAACAAAAAAACAACCAGAAACAGAAAAACACCCTGAAGCACAGTGTGAAGAAGCAATCAATCCCATGTGCATACAGTATGCTCCAAATAATTACAAATTCCAGACTATCTGCTGAAAGAGAGAAAACGTCTTGCTGCAGGGCTGGTGCTGATGACAGCATTAAGGCAAGAAGAGACACAAGGCTGTGCAGTGCACATACAAACTTGTTTCCCAAATGCAGTATTTGGTCGCAGATAATTCATTGCAAGCAATCTGTACCACTAGAGTTGCCCTGGGCTCGCAGCAGGGAATGTGAACCACACCACTGGGCTTCAAACTCTGGCATTCAATTACACTGAGCAGCGTTCACAAACTTGTGTTCACATCATTCCCATGAATTCACAACTGCTCCTTCTGTCTGGAAATGAACACACAGCGATTGCTGTTCGTACACTCATGGGAAGGAGGTTGGTGAGAGCATTTGTGTGACCTGCATGAGACCAAAGCTTCCAGATACCACAGACTGCAGGATGCACAGAAACCCGCAGGACTTGGGCTTCAAAAATCCAGCCAGAATGTTTTGAAAAGGAAACGAGATAATGAAGGAAAGAAGTTTCATGAAACTGCTGCAGAGAGATAAATGGTCTAAATTCAGCAGGCTGCGTGCAGAGCTGGGGATGCTCTCAGAGGCTCTGGTGAGATGCACTCTTTGACCTGCTGTCCTTCCCCCATTTGCACCATTGCTCCCCAGCTGCAGGAATTACTCAAGCAATTAGGTAGCAGCCCTCAAGGAGCAGAGCACGTGGAGTTAATAAAGGCCTTTCTAGTCTATAAAGTCTGTTTTTACGGATGCTGAGGTCTGGCTGCACCCTGCTGCTTTGGCTCCTCACCTCCAGCAGCCCCTGGGGCTCCACTCCTTCACAGCACGTGCAGTTATTTAAGCAGCAGCCCTCCAGGAGCAGAATACATATGGTTAATAGAGGTATTTCTTCTTTGTAGAGTCTCTGTGTTTATGGGTGTTGTAAACACTTGCAGCTCAATGACTGCTGCAATAGAGGCATGTTGCTATTTGTCACGCCTATATATATGAATATATATATATATATATTTGTATATACACTGATTGGCATTCAGCTCACAAAGACTGTTCTTGAGAGCTAGGAAGAGAGTAAAAACGTGTGATACTTTTCTGTGGGAACTGAAGGGCAGTGGGACTCAGTAGAATCCAATGCTGAGCTCAGCCAGAGAGACACAACACAAACTGGGATCCCGTGACAGAGGCTGTGACCGACCTTCCAACCTCAGTGGTTCTGTAACTCCATGTTCAATCTGAGCTCTGAAAGGGCTGGCTCTGAGGGAGGTCATCCACCTCCATCTTAAAGCCTCTGCAAAGGGGTGAGGGATGGGCAGGGTGTATCTAGCTTGTATTGTATTTGCTCTCTGCATTGCATACATTCACTGGATAATGCCACTCTGCTGATTGGAGCAGCATCCAAACGAACCTTCTGGCTGGTCAAGGAGGATCCAAAACCTCTGCTGAAGAAATGCTGACATCATATCTGCCACTCAAGACAGGAGTGGGATTGGCTGGGAGCAAGAGGTTATTGAAATGCCTCTGTGAGGTTAATTGTCAGTGAGTTAATTTGGAGCCAGTGGTTTTGCTGCTTTTAATTCACAGCTCTGATGCTCTATACAGATGCCATAAAATCAGCACTGTTTTCCTTCATCGAACATCCACTACGCTACAGGGACATTCATTTTGGGAACAGAAAGGAAATATTTCAGCAAAGTATTTTCAAGAGATAACTGTAGTCCCAAACCAAAATAGCAATGAAATCTCCAGATGCTCATATCCGGAGCCTGACGGGGGCTCCGTTCCAACTCTGTGGCAATACCTTTCCATTTCTGTAAGCCCTTCCTTTGATGAGCATTAAAACACTATGCAAATATTAATCTACCATGATTTGCAATATCCTGCCAGGTAAGTACTGCAGAACCTGTTCTACATCTGGAGAACAGCAATGCCCATATGAAGCTGCTTACATAGAGGTCATGGGACGCATTTTCTTTAAGCTTTTTCTCCCTTAATCCAAAACTTGTCATCCACTCAACCCTTTTTTTTTTTCTCTCTGTCTTCTCTCCTCATTTTTAGGATGTGAAATAACATAATCCAAGTCTTGCTGAGCTCTAGGGAAGCTTGGATAAGGGTCAAGTCTTAACTTGAGCTACACCTAGCGAAGAAGGAGGCCCTCCACGGACCTGCTACCTGCACACTGAGCAGGACTGTGCATCTCCACCTCTCTCCTTCACTACCTGAAATAAATGTTTAAAAATGACATGCAGAGAACAGCTGCAAAATGAGCCTCTTAAACCTGCACATTGCATCTCCCAGAGCTGCTACTTTCCCCTGCCATCACACAAACTTGCCCAAGGCTGATGCCTCTTTATGTGCTCCCCCATCGACTGTAATTCTTATCCAGCATTATCTTATCTTGAGCTATTACAGTGCAAAATGCTACATTACTTCCTAACTGCCTGGAGCTAGCTCAGGCAGTTCTCCTCATTAAATTACAGCCACTGCAGGAAGAAGTGGGGCAGGTCAACCCTCACGGGCTGTGATTTTTGGCCAAACGGTTTATGCAGTGGACCACATGAAATGCTACCACTGCAGTGTGCAGCTGTGGGCAGGGGCCCTGAGAAGAGGAGAGCATGGATACAACATCTTTGAGCATAAAAACATCTACTTTATCAAGATATTTCTTTACCTAACAAAAAATACTCTCCTTAATACTCCATTATTCTCCCAATACTTCCTTAATTCGGTAGCATTGATCTTTAACGATGCACTGATTGGTCAATGTGGCCAAAACACCGAAGAAGGAAAGAATTCACCTTTCCTAAATTCATTGGAGACCTCTCTGCTCACCAGAAACAGGAGGAGATGCCCAAGAATTTATTTTCTGACCCAAGACAAGGGATGGCTTTACCTGGAACACTGTGAGGATGGCAGCTGGAAAAGTATCGAAATTCGTGGTTGGTGTTTCGTCTCTAAAATTGAACCTAGAGGAAGAATCAGAAATAAAAACAATAGCAATAAGGGAACAAGCAAATCTCCTGCAGTCCTGTAATATGCTGTAACCTGAGTCAGAGACCAGCATTGGTTTCATCTGGACGTAACATCCCAAGGACTGCAGTGGAGAACGTGACGTCATTGAGAAGATGGCTACAGAGTCATGAACAGAAACTAAATTTGGATCTGGAGAAAAACTGGCTCTTCAGAATTAATTATATCCTAAATTCAAATGGACAATGGAAAGATAAAACCATTTTGCAGAACAAGCCATTCCAAGAAGCCTTAGTCCATAGGTGTAAAGTCAAAATTGAAATTGTCTGCCTCTTCTCAGCAGAAAGGTTGGTGCATGTACCATTGCAGTCAGACGTTCCTGCCCTGCTGCCCCTCTCCTTTTGTGATTTCCAAGTGATTGGAAGCACAGTGATTAATTAGACTTACTGCCCTCCAAAGAGCTGCATCCCCAGCAGAGCAAACACCACAATGAAGAGGAACAGCAGAAAGAGCAAACTGATGATGGACTTCATGGAGTTCAGCAAGGAGACCACAAGGTTCCTCAGGGAGTTCCAGTATCTGTGTAGGAGATCAGAGCACAGAAACCATTAGCGGTAGAAGAGCCTTCAGTTTAGAAATTAATTAGATCCACTCTTTAATTAAAAATAACTCTAAAAAATGGACAGCAAGGGCTGTTGGCATCTTTAATCTCCCCCTGCCAACGTAATTGAGAAATACATTGAGTTCAAGAATGAGGATTTTTGAGGCAGGAATTTTTCCCAAACTCCTTTTGTTTTCCTCTTCTTCCTCTCCCCTGCTGCAGCTGGGAGGACCGAAGCGCCCCACACAGCTCTGGGATCATGCACCCATTCCAAGAGAAGTTATGCTCATAACACAATGACTGCAGGTTTCAGGGGATATGTTGTGGAATTGTGGAATTGTGGAATATCTTCACTTTTGAAAGACAAAACCAAATCTCTCCTTGGAGGAGGAGGAGGATGGAGCCCTTGGTCACAAGGGCTTTGTCCTGCTTGGTGCAATTCCTTCAGGCAAAATCTGCTTCCAGCACCATCTCACTGTTAACCCCACCGAAGCAGCTCCAGCTCATCCCAGAATAGCTCAACACCAAACCCTGAATGATTACAGAGCACCAGGACATAACGAGGGGCTGCATTTCTGCAGCTGCCAGTCCCCATTAACTTCAGACATGACAAAGGGGAAAACATGTTGAGCTGTCCTCTCCTTGTCTTCCTTTGTGAATTTTAGTCCCTCTTGGGCTGTGCTCCTCTTAGTGCATCCTGGTGTCACCGTTGGGACTGACGCAATTTAGCTTTTAACTTTCACATCACTGCCATCAGCAGTCACACTGATTTGGGCCATAGGAATCAAAAGCCCTAATAGCAATTCTCCAAATCAAGGTGGACTGTCATCTTCAGCTAAGTCCAGAGGCAAGGAGCCTTGGCCTGTGGCAGCAGGGTTGGAACTTGACGATCCTTGAGGTCCCTTCCAACCCAAGCCATTCTATGATTCTATATGAGAAATGGGGGGTGGAGGGAAAGGCAACTGCTTGGGATCAGGATGTTTCCACCAGGAGAAATCTCCTTAATAAGGCCAAGGGAGTTTCTGCATCAGTGGGGTGAAAATCTGACTTGCTGCCCTGAGAGTGGGAGATCGCTCAGCCTGTTTCATGACTGCTTTGTCAAGTTAAACCTCAGGCTTCAGCTCTTTGCTATAGCAGCTCAAATCCTGAATAGTCACAACAGGCAAAAAGATCATTTTACCCTGCAAAAATGTCCAAATTTTTAAAAAAGCACAACATACAATCAGATACATTCTATCTCTGTAGCTCCGCTGACAATTAATTGCTAAAAATTTGCCACAAAATGTGCCTCTTTCAATAAGTAAGATCAGAGTGGAGGTAGACTAAATGACGTTTTTAGGGCAAGATCCCACTTCTTTTACTGGACATTTACAGAACTTCATGTTCCCAACTCCCACAGTGCCTCCAATGGCACACTGTCATGCAGGGATTTTGAGTCTTTGTGATGATTAGCATCAGATATAAACTGGCAAATTCTCCAGCAACAAAAACCATGCATGGGAATAGCCAGAAAATGCCTGCTTACTTCAACCTGCTCTTTTACTGTCAATGAAGGCAATGGTGTAGGTGGAAAAACAACAGCAGGAGCACCCAAATATTTCATCCCATCCCACAGCACTGTTTTAAAACAGAGAAATTGCTCCTGGTGGGTTTGCAAGTTGCACAGCAGCTGTTGCTAACGGCAGCACATATTAACACAACACAAGAGCACGAAGACAACAGAGAAGCTGGAGCAACCCAACTCCAGTCAACGTCCACATTTACAGGCTCCAGAGAGAAACCTCAGACATCCCCAGAGCAGACAGAGCACAGACAGCAGCAATGCACTTATATTCATGTCAGCACTGTGGTTTGAGCATCAGGATTTATTATCTGGCAGTAGCCAGAGCTCATCTCAGTAGATCTAAATCCTTAAATACTATCAGCAGCAGATAAGGGCAGCAGGCACTTATTGAGAGTCTTGTTTTAAGCAAGTTTAACAAATAATGAAGTAAAGCTGGATGCAGCTGCCCCAAGCAGAATGGTTTCAAACTACAAGAGGGGAGATTTAGACTGGGTGTAAGGAAGAAGTGTTTCACACTCAGGGCAATGAAGCACTGCACAGGTTGCACAGAGAGGTGCTGGTGCCCCATCCCTGCAGACAGCCAAGGTCAGGCTGGATGGGGCACTGATGGAGCTGTAGATCATAGAATTATTGAGATTGGAAAAGACCACTAAGATCATCTTAGTCCAAGCCCAGCCCATCCACACCTACAAACCTGCACAGAAAGATGTGGAAAAAGCTGTTAAAAGTCCTCAAAGGTGCAACTTTCTAAGAACAGCCTACCAGAAGCTCAGACTGACCAACCAAAGGAAGGACAATTCTACACCTGCAGCTCTCTTCTTTCCCTTACCCACGGGGTGACTTTGCACGGTGCCTAAGGTGAGTGAAACAGGAGCTGGACTTACTTGGTGACTTTGAAAATCCGCAGCAGCCGCAGAGCTCTCAGCACGCTGATGCCAAACGAGGTACCAGGTTTCACTGCAGCCCAGATGACTTCAAAGATGCTTCCCACAATGACCTGGAAGAGGAGCTCATTTTACAGAAAGGAAAACTTCTGCTTAGATCCTTGTGGCGCTGCCAGAGAGGCTGGGGGCTAAAGAAGAGTCAAAAGTTGGGCTATGATGGTTTTCCAACGAAGGTTTCAGTGTAATTTTGCAAAATTGTGAATTAGCCAGCAGCAATATAAGAGGGGTTTGGTTCTACCTTTCTGCAGTCCAATCCAAAAAGGAGCAATATCTAGACTGGCATAGAGTGGAAACTCTCTTCTTCCTTCTCTAGCAAGTCAATTACTTCAAAATAGCCTTTTTTAGAGGACACAAGACTTTGTCACTACTATAACTTATAATTTACATAACTATAAGTGTACAGATATTTCATTTGCCTACCCTGCATGGTCCAGGCAGCCCTCAGAGGCGTGGGGACATCGCCCCATCCGCCTCATCCCATTAGAAAGGCACCATGGCTGCATCCCAGAGCTGCAGAACAGCCAAGTGTTAGCTCCTCACTGAATGCCCAGACTCTCCTGGCCACTGAGTCTTCGGGAGAGTGATTAAGATAATGGCTACAAAGAGAGTCTCTAGCTCTAGTCTAGAGACTAGACTAGTCTAGTCTCTCTAGACTCTTTTAGAGTCCTAAAGAGTCTCTCATGTGCACATCCATCATCTGCCTCAGGTTATGCAAAATAAATTGTCCTCAGTCAAGGGGGTTGGTTTTGTTTCTAATTTTTGCCCATTTGTCTTAAGGTTCACAGAGCATTAACCTGAAGGGATAAACACTGTTGTTTTGGTGTTTTTTTTTTTTCCCTGAAATCCCGTATTACAAAAAGGACAAAATAATAATGGGCTAAGCACAATCGGGAAAGGGCAATTATATCAACACGGGTTACTGCATGGTTAATTAGAGAGGATGGGCATTTCTCTGCTGATAGCTATCATTAGCTGCATTAAGCTGGCATTTCAGAGCTCACACAGACCGTGGTCCCACAGCATGAAGCACGCCATAAACATGCTATGAGCAGCCCCTGGGAGCAGCTCAGGCCTTTGTGCACGGCAGCAGCAGAACAGTGCTGGGGACCTGCGCAGCGCCGTGGCACTCAGCAGCTTGCAAACCATTTCAACAAGCAGGAGCCTGTCTGTTTTTTGAAAACCACAGCAGGACCTGCAGCTGCTCTGCAAGAAACACGGTACCCTGAGCTTCAAGGAAACACAGTGGGAAAAGGGGAACAAACAGCAGTTGCTCAGCCGGTGGCTCCCATTACAAAAGGAAGGAATTAAGATTCCTCTCCCACTGCCTATTCCTCTTGGGAATCCCTCGTGAATCAGCAAAAGCCTTTCCTCAGGCACTCCATGCATTACACTGATCATTAACTTCCCTGGCATCTCAGCAGGGCCTCTTGGGGGCAGCTGCATCTGAGACCCCGCTGGACCGTTTCTCCCAAGACTGATGTTGATCTGTTTTGTTGTTTCTCTCTTTGCTTTTGAACTGTTCTATCAGGATGGTTTGTCAGACTAAACTGCTTTCAGATGTCCCAGTGTGGGTGCAGGAGCCAAATTAGTTCTGGGGGGTGGAAGGTGGGTGAGGAGAAAAACGCAGACAGAAGTAGGATCCCAGCGGGTTCTCTAAAGGATGGAGAATTAGGAACATATCAACAGCTTTACCTCCTGGGAAACCCTCTGCAGAGCTCAATGCCAGTGCTGCACTCACTGTAGCATGGCAGAAAGCAGAGAGGCCTGGTGGATTTATCTCATATTGATGTCAAGTTCCTGTATCACCTGAGCTTGAGCGGCAGGAACAAGTTTATCTTGAAACACAGAGCATTCTGGATGCAAGAATCCACACCACCTATCTTACACTAACCAGGTTATTTATGCACTGGTTTCGTTCCATGTTTGGGTGTGCACTACTGGGCCATACAGACAGAAAGGTCTGCACAGCACATTTCATGGCCCTGATCCACTGTCAGCTGCTGTAAACACCTGGGGAGAAAGTCCCACATAGAGGGACTGGGTGCAGCCAAACCAACCTCAGCCTCTTGGACACAGATGGCTCCTGGGTTTGATCTCAAGGGCTGTTCAGCTCTGGGCATTCACAACGATGCTGCCAAAAAGGGACTGTGGTAGCTCTACTGTAGAGTCTGTGCTTCAGCCCTAAATGGATCTGAGTTGCAGCTTTCCTGTATTATGTGTTCAGGCTTCAGGGCACTCGTGTCTGAAAAGCCCTGCCTACGTATCTTGAGGTAACGGCCATGGAAAGGATGATAGGGAGATGAGCAGTAAGACGTGTGGTTGTTTTGTTTTTTTTTTAATCTTTCAATCACTTCATTTGAATGGGAGAGAGACTCTCCCATTAATCAGAGCACTTACTGATGCTGTGAACAGCCTGTAACTCACTGAGGAAATGAAACCCTCGACTGTCACATTTCTTCAAGAGGAATGATAACCAGGGGAGCCTTAATGTGTTTCCCTGCAGCTAATTTATATGACAACCACTCCCTGGCAAAGACACCCTGTTGGCACCACTTCCCATACTCACCCTGAAATGCCCAGCCCTATTCAACCAGGGGGACCACGCAGCTGAAGCCTACTCACCCCAAAGTCAAAGCAGTTGAATGAGGAATGAAAGTAATTTCTTGGTCCCAGTCCATACATCTTCAAAGACATCTCAGTAAGGAACAGACCCAGAAAAACAAACTCGGCGAAATCTAGGAACCAGAGAAGAGATGACATTAGTCCATGAGACCTCAGTGGGCAGATCTCTTCATGCAGGGAACAGCAGTCGTTTTTCACAGTGCAGACTTGCTCCTGCTGGAAGAAAATCCCTTTGCAAAAGCAAAAGCAAACACGACCCTGAGGAGAGTTTCACTTGGTTATGTCTATATGCACATGAGCTGCACTCAGACTTGAGGAGCTGGGAGGTCAGTGTTGCACGTGTATTGTATATGTATATGAGCATTAAATAATACTCCAAATCTCTCTGCAAAGGAATTTCAAAGGGAAAGTTCTGGATCTAAAATTCCCAAAGGTCTGATTTAATTGCACAGACAACGTTTTGCAAATGCATGCTGGGGACGTCCGTGCATATTTTGGGAGTGGGGTGTGAGCTTTTATAACGTTCTCTCATGATAAAAATACCTCCCTACCCAACAGAGCTGCTGCCTCTGTGAGCTCAGGCTCAGAGGTGTTGGGTCTGCTGTTAGCTTTGATTCCTATTACGCCTGCACAACCACAGCTCTGCAAGAGCAAGTTCAGTTTCCTCCTGCCTCGCATATCACAGGCAAAAGGCTGCCATGATTTTGGTGGGAAAATGTATCAGATCTGATGAAACAAAGGGCAGAAAGAACGTAGTTGGATTTTTCTATTTCCACGTCAGGTTTTTAGGACTTGAAGCTATAGGAAACATTGTGTTCGGTGCTATAAGTTCCCAAAGTTAGATGGGGAATCCAAGGAGCAGCAGCAACAATGGAATATTATTAAAAACCAAATATTGAAAGGGTAAAAATCCCCTCAGTGCTTCCAAAACAAACCTAACAGCATATAGTAAACCTCTCCCTATAGAGAAACACTGACAGAAAGAGTCAGACTTCAGAAGGCAGAGAGCAGGGGTGTTGCTTAAAGCAGCACAGACTTTCTCCCATGCTGCAAGGAAGGCTTCTCCTCTAATTCAAGTTTCATGATTCCAGAAGTAGTACTGAGATGGCACTGAGCTTTTCTCAAAGGTGCATGCTGACAGCAAAGTGGCAATGGATGCACTTTGCAGCGAGGAATATTTCACTTAAGAAATCCCAAATCCTGGGTGTTTTGTACACCTGGAATGCGTGGCTTCAGCCAACAAGCATGGGGAAAGGGAGAGCAGCAGGCTCCTTTCAGACATGGCTTTTGTTCAGTTCTCTGCCCTGCACATTTCTCCTAAGTGCTTTTGGCCTGGGTTCATCTCACATCGCTGCTTGTCTTGTGCAATTGCCTGAAAAATACAGCTTCAATTATCAAAAAATAAAAAGGGGTTTTACATTTTAAATCAAAAGAAGCCATGAAATAGCATGGGCACGATGTTAACTGAAATCCAGGAAGCACCAGCTAGATGAGAGTGGTTTTATTAATGCTTCAGCAGGGAGCCTACAAGGGCACTTCTGCCAACATTTACAGTAAGGGAGGGAACATCATGAGGGCGTTAACTATGTACACCGTGTAACAGACTCCTTGAAACTAGGAGTAATAGCCTTAAAGGAGACTGCCAAGGGCAAAACATTTAGACTTGAAGAATAAGATGGCAAAATGTGAAGTGTGCAGACTTCTCAGCCCTTTTCCTACCACTGGTAGACTCCACTGGTTGGATCTTCATGCTCACAGAGCATCATGATGGCATGGAGATGGAGGAACAGCTCTTCTGCCTTCCCCTTAATGCACGGAACCTGCTTGGAGAAACACCTGCTACATCATGTCTCTATTCTTCTCTCCTTCCTGGCAGCAAAAAGGCATTGACAACACAAGGGATCCCAGTGGCAATCATCCAGTTACACTGGCAATACATCTCACAGTCCAAGTGCAGAGGGTAAGGAAGGGACCAGATGAACCAAATCTCAAGCATGACACGAGACACCAACAAGATAAGAATACAAAACTGAAGCAAAACCAAAACAACATGTTCAATGGTAACGAAATTTCCTGAACACAATTAAAAAGACTGCAAACAGCATGGATGTTTAAATTCTTAACTATTAATAGCTGAGCCTCTAAATAAGATGCTTAGACTGTAGTTTCCAAGCCGGACTCTAAAATTCCATCCTGCACTTCCATTCTGCATCCTGTAGACTTTGGAAATGGTAATTAACAAGAGGCAAAACTCCCTTAGCAAAGCAGATGCATCTTCCCTGGGTGAGGAAGAATTGATGCTGCTCCTCTCACCTATTCTGCTCATTAGCCCAGAGGGAAATCTTGCAGCAGTGTTTATGCTGTTTACGGAGTTGCTCCCTTGCTGGGAAGTTACCTCTTGTGTCTTAGGTTTCATGCTCAGCAGAGCTCAGCATGGTGTTTATTTGAATGACTTCAATGCAAAGTCCCCCTATCGTGAAGACTGACGTCAAACCCATGCCTTGAAACTGGTGGCCATGCTGGCAGACCAAACTTAGAACCTTTGCAAGAGGTTGCAGAGAGGCCAACAGAAAGCACTGCACAGCCTCCACATGCTTTTTGTGCCTCCCCTTTGTAGGGAGTTTCTCATGCTATTTATCCACCAGACCCAATTACCTTTCAGGTAGGCCCAGTATTCTTTCACAAAATAATGAAAATACTAGGCAGAATTTTAATTGCAATTTTCACCATCAGGTCTCAGTGCACTTTGCCAAAATAACAGCAATCACTTCATAAGGAGGGAAAGGAGGAAGGAAATAAGGTTTAATAGTCCATCACCCATCCACTGAAGCATGAACAAAAGAACAGGCATTACCCAGTGCCACGTTGCATCATTGGAGTGACACATCCGATGCTCACACACATGCAAGACCAGATTATTACGGGAGAAAATCAGCCAGCAAAAGGCCAAAGTAAAAGAGATTCAAACAATATTTGATATAAAACACAGGAAACTCAAAATATCCAAGAAACAACTTCCTTCTGTCACTCTTGAAAGAAGAGCCCATCTCATCCTTTCACAGCCATTGACTTCTATCTGGAGCAGAGCTCAAAACAGGCAGGATAGCTGTATTTCACCACACACCACAGCCATGGGAGCACAGGGGATGGAGGAAACTCACGTGGTGAGTTCCTTGGACACAAGGAATTCACTCAGAGTGCATCAGCTTCTCCAGCTGACAGATCAGATACGTGATTCCTTCTGACGTGGCCCTGCCCATTTAATTGAAAATGCAATTTTGTTGTTTGGACCTCCTGGTGCTCAGACCCCACAAGTAATTTAATCTGCCTTAAACAGAAGCATTTTGTAATGATATTTTAGTCAAAAAGTTTGATATTAAGATTCTCATTTAATTAAAGATTTGTACCATTGGCAAAGGCCACGCTAGTATCTTTTTGCCCCAAACTTTTGAGTTAGATATTCAGCAGCTCCTTTTTGTCAGTCTCCAATGGATTAATTCCATTTCTGCCCTGGATCAATCCAAGTCTTGTGTCATTAAGAGCAGGTGTCAAGCCTGCCACTTCTGTTCTCTCTTTCTCCTTGTACATTAAACCAACCAGGAGGAGAACCTCAGTGAATTACAACTTCTCCCTCTGACAAGGCAGACGTGAAATGTTCAGCAGACATAAATAAATATGCTCGTTTGAGAAAGCCTTTTCTTTGCAACCACACATGCTGCATATTTATATCCAGAGGGAGCCGGCTATCTACTTCAAAGGCAAACACAATATCATCAACAAGGCATAATTGCATCAAACACGGGGTTCAACACAGCACAGCACACTGAGAAGCTGTTCTCAAGCTGTAATGTCTAAAACACTGTCTTCCAATATTGTGCTTTTCAGAATGGAGGCATTATAGAACTCATTTTTAGACAAATTGAGGAGCAAGATCCCCGCAGCATTAGCCAGAGAAATCCAGAGAGAGTTGCTGCATGGAGGGCAGCCATAGGCAAAGAGAAGTCTGGTGAGAAGGCTCCCTCCTCCCGTGGGAAAACTTACTGATTTAATCCAAAATCCTTCTCACCACAGTTCCTAAAATCTGATTTGGGGACACCAGGGAGCTCCAGGTCCTTCATCCCTGGAGGTGCCCAAGGCCAGGTTGGATGGGGCCCTGGGCAGCCTGATCTGCTAGGGGGCAACCAGCCCATGACAGGGGTCAGGACCGGATGATTTGAGGTTACTTCCAACCCAGCCATTCCATGACTCTGTGATCTGCACTATGTGCCCGCATTACAGATTTTATATTTTGTTATCCTTACTGATGAAGATGCATCTTTTCTGCAACTAGACTTCAAGTGATGCTTGTCTGTGCTGGATTATAGAGTTCCTTTCTGTCACAATTCTCTTGGTGGAAATAAGTGCAAGCAAATGACCATGGCACGTTTTATGGGAGATAGCCTTCTACAGGGAACTGAAAACTGCTTAATTGATAGTCCATGCTCTGTGGAAAGGCACATGCCATGTATGATTGTGCAGTATAAGAAAACTTACTGCAGCGTGGCACTGAAGTCATTCCCATACAGGGAAGGAAAACTTCCAATTTAATTTGGAGATAACCATGAGGGCATGAAGTATGTCCTGTTATTCACCATACCTCAAGAATACCAGAAATTTCTCATCAGGGTGAAAAGCCTGCTCTTACAATAAGACTAAAGAAATTCCAAGTCCCTTCGTAAAGCTCCTGCTGTTCCCATTTCAAAGCAGTTGCAGCAACATGGAATATCAAGTAGAGAAAGCTAATCAGAACAACTCAACAGCAGAAAAGTTAAAAGAAAAGACCACAGGAAAAATAAATCAATGCATACCTGCAAGGTTTAAACCCACCGTTCTTTAAGTAAAATTAATCTGTAACGTAATTAAACGTTCCCCCAGAGGAACAGGTATAATTGAATTAGAGGTGCTTGGTGGAGTTGCAGGGTTTAACAGATCTTCTCAGACTTCACCACACTCCTCTCCTTCTGCCACAGCTCACACAGCTCCTCACTGGCCCATTTCTGAGCACCTTCCACAGAGCAACTTCATCAGCGTTGGCTGCTTCAATCGCTCTGCACCACATCAGCCAAGCCCTGCTCCTCTGCAGTGAGACTCCCTCACCGTGGATTAACTCTAAAGCCACTCCTAGACTGTGTCACTTGTACAGTTAAAGGATTTGGCCAAGTACTTCCAGAAGCTATTTAAAACCCCCTGGTTTTGTAATATCCTGTTCTGCCTGTATCTAAAGGATCTGTGAACGAGCCTTGGGCAGAAGAGTGCTTTCAAGGAGCACTCCTCAAGAGCTGAACTGCAGATGGGCTTGTTCACAAATATGTTTGGTGCCAGGTTAACGAGGGTGGCTGTGGTCATTGTACACAGGCAGGAGAGGAGTCAAGCCCAGTCTTACCATGAAAGCAATAATGAGAAAACCAGTTAGTCCACACATGACCCAGTGTAACTTAGGGCATAAAATTCCTTGTACTCAACAACAGATTAGCAGAAAAGATTGTGCCAAAAAAACCCAATAACACCCCCCATGAAGTTGAGAACAACTCAATAGCAACACTTGCTCTCGGGTGGGTAGTATCATTGAATCCCAGAATGTCTTGGGTTGGAAGGAACCTCACAGACCATCCAGTTCCAACCTGGTCCCATGGGCAGGGCTGCCAACCATTAAATCGGACATCAGATGAGGCTGCCCAGAGCCCCATCCAACCCTTCAGAGCACCCACAACTTCTCCAGGCAGCAGTATCCTGGCATCAAGAAATTAAAGTATGCCACACACATTTTTCTGAATGTAATTCACAAGTTGGACATTAGGAAAATTTCACAGCTCCTGAAAGATGGACCCACCCCAGTCCCTGATTCGAGGTACAACACAGTTTCAACACTCCCTTCTTCCTGTCTGCAGCTGAGGTTGGTCGGGAGCCTAATTAATGGCTGCTGTACCAAATACCATTCCCACCTGGAGGGAATTTCATTACAATCAACGCAACACTAGCAGCTCCAGATGAACATCAAGCAGAAGTTGCTGGCTCACAACTTTCTTAATGTCCTCTTAGAAATGTTACTGCGTCAGGTGCTCCCAAAAGAGTGCTTAGAAATCTGTACTCTTTAAGCTGAAATTCTTAAAGTGTTACTTTTTTCCAGATATTTAGTCCTAATTCAAAAATCCTAAGCTTCACTCTGCTGATTACTCTGCCAATCTAGCTTTCCAATGTTAAATTTGGGAAATGAATAAGTGAGACTGATATCTCTGTGTGGTCTGCCTTTCAGTCTAAATCTTGCAAGAGAAACAGTTGAAAGGAGCTTCTGTCCTCCTTACACATTTCATTATAACTTCAGTTACCTGTCTGTATTAAATATTTCAGCAAACATTAATAGGGTGTTTTTTGAAGTCGGAGCTGCTAGTATTCCTGACCCCTTAGCTCTAAAAAAGAAAAACTTCAAAAGTTTGCTCCTTTATAATAATGTAAGACCTGAAGGTGTGGGTCTAGAAATATTTGAGTATGTAATTTATATAGAAATTAATGAAAATTAGGTAGATAAGTAACTTTAATGATCTAAGCCACACTTATTAAGTCAGACTGTTTGAAATATTTTTTCCCCTAGCCTTTTTTCTCACTTTAGAAGTTTTACTCATACTCTCAACTTGCCCCATCTGAATAAAGATGTGTTTCTGGCTGTTTGACAGACTCAGAGATGGCTGATTTTATAGCTCTGCCTTCCAGAAACAAACCTTCCATCCCCTGCCTTCCCAAAGCAAAGCTCATGGAGTCCCACTCTCAGTGTTATCCCATTCTGACCCAATACACTGAAACTCATTTTCCAGCTTCAGTAGTCACAGCCTGCAATCTTCATTAAAATAGAAGCTCAATTCACCATACTCCACTTCTTTTTTCAACAAAAGGCTTCATGAGCAACTCTGCAACCTCAGTGTAACACCACAATGTGTGCATCCACTGATTTTCTATCACCAGACAGAACTATTGGCAATTAAAAAAAATAACAAATCATCCTTCAAAAGAACCTGTAACTATCTGAAGCCTTATACTGATGGGTGACCACAGGAAACAAGCTAAAAATAAAGCTTTATCACAGGTGTAATAAATCCACTCTATGGTATTATTTGTACCGCTACTCCACGTACTTTCACAAAAGGGCATCCTGAGGTTTATCCATTTATTTAAGGAAGACACAATTATCAAAAAAGCTCTTCCATAAAGTTGCAACCACTTAAGGAATATAGAAGTAATTGCTAAAAGCACAATAAATTAGCATATGATTCTGCATACACTGTATACAGATGTTTTTTCCTCCCTGACAGCCTTGGTGATGGCACACATGGTCATCCCAGCACTGACAGAGCTTTGGATTTGTCCAAAACAGAAATACCCATGGATGCAGATCAGCTGCAGAGTGGCACAAATTCTGCCATTCCTCCTACAGAGCAAACCTTCCTCTGACATCACCAGATTAAGACATGGTTGAATCACATGGTTGAGTTTCAGGTACAGTTTAAGATCACATTCCCACATCATCCCAAACCATGAGATGAGACAACAGATGTAGGCTTCTTCTGAAAGACTCAATGAAAACATGACTCAATGAAACATGACTCAATGAAACATGACTCAATGAAACATGACTCAATGAACCTACTAGAGCAATTCATTAATGCATTTGCCTCCCTACCCTAGGGAGACCTAGGAAGCCACAAACAGACCTCATGAGGACGCGACACCAGTGCCGTGAGCAGCCAAAACACAAGACCCAGAGAGGAAAGGTGCAGGAGAAGCCCCTGGTACTCACACAGAGCAGTGGTGAGTTTCTCTGGCTGATCATAGTGCACCATCGCAACGCAGAGCGTGTTGAGGGCAACCACGCAGAGCACGATCCAGTAGAAGCTCTGGGCTTTCACCATGCGCCGGATGAAGAAGCGGAACATTTTCTCTTTCCTCCTGAAGTAGGATGAGCTCTCATTCTTCCCACTCTTCAAACTGGCACGGGCAAAAGGAGACCCTGGGCAGTGAGGCATAGAAAGAAGAGTCACCACAGCACATCCAGGCAGGAGAAAGGCCAGAGGATGCCTATGGGCACACAGACCCACTCCTGAGCACCAGGCTGAGCACAAGGCTGGGCACACTGAGAATGGACTGAGCACAGGCATCTCGCTTGCAATGACTCTGCAAGGGACGAAGATTTTAGAACTTGGTGGCTTAATACTCAGTTCCACCATCAGTGGGAAGTGGGCTCCCAACTCCATTAAGCTATCCTGAATATGCCAGCTGCACTCACAACCTTTAGGATCCCAAGTGACTGCAGCAACAAGGTGTTGGGCATGGTGATGGGTTGGGTGGTTGGGTTGAGCATGGTGGATGTGCATGGAGCACATCCCCTTGGAGCTGTGCAGCTGCCAGCAGGTCCATACATCCCCACTCAGAGCACCAGCACAGCCAAGCCCTAATTACCATACTGAGTCTCCTTATTTTACTCTGATTTCACATCTCTCTGCAGCAGAAGGCTCAATCTGCCTCCACGCATCATGTTTTGGGCACAGCTTCTCATTTTGTATCCATTCTGCCTTTATCAGCTACATTTCAAGTCTGCTCTGAAACCCTGGAAGAAAATCAAATGTTTTAATAGTAGCAAGCTGACAGAGGAAACAATTCCTAATGTCAGCTCTCCTCCTGAGGTAGAAGCACTGTTGAAAGGAGTGATGGAAAAGCAATCTCTGGTCAGGGCAGAGCACGTGCATCCGTGGGAGTTCTTCTACAACAGCTACAAATGCTGTTGCAAGCAGGGTACTGGTGATGGCCACAGGCTCTCTGCTACCTGCATCACACTGTGTTCACACTCCTCTGGTTGCAAACCTTGTATCTTGGCAGTTTAAGGTGAAGCAGCATGCTGCTGGCCTTCGCTGTCATTGGCTGTTGCCTCCCAGGGGGTAGGACTGGCCAGGACACACACTGCCCTGCTTGGACCGAGCACCATGACAGCAGGTGACCCGCACTGACTCTCCTTGGAGATGGCTGAGTTACACGAACAAAGTGTTCTGGCTATGGCAGCCAAGTGATCCGAGTGCACTCGTAGGCATTTCAACACCTCAAGTGATGGAACAGGTGACGATCTCACCCTGTGTCATCTTGCAGTAACACCAAACACTGCAGTCATAGACGGGTGGTGACAGCAGGGAGCTGTGCAGCACCACCTCCCTACCAGCAAGCTCTGTGCTCCTTTGCTCAGTTCTGGCCATCCAGCAACATCCAAATGCAGGGCTGCACCTGGCTGAGTTACAAAGCAAATCCCTGCTGGAAAGCTCAGTGGGCTGTTGTTCTATTAGTTTGATAATCTTTTCTTTGTTGGTGTAGAAATTAACAGAGGAAACAGAGAAATTAAAGAGGAAATGGCCTCAAGTTGTGCCAGAGGGGGGTGGGTTCAGGTTGGGTATTAAGAAAAATTTCTTTAGAGAAAGAGTGGGCACAGGCTGCACAGGGAATGGTGGAATCACCATCTCTGGAGGCATTCCAGAACCATGGAGATGTGGCACTGAGCAACACGGTCAGTGGGCATGGGGGGACTGGTTGGGGTTGGACTTGATGATTTTAGGAGATCTCTTCCAACCTTAATGATTCTGTCTTCCAGGAAAGAATATCAGGCCACCTTGTGTATTTAAATTGATTTAAACGTGGAAAACATCCTCTTTCCTAGAGATGTCTCTAGCACAGCTTAGAGAGTGAGGAGCCAGCACCGACTGCCACAGGGTGGTTAGTGTGGAGAAAAGTCAAAGAGTCAGGAGAAAATGAAAGAATAAATCTTAGGAATAACTCCGGAGAACACACTGGGAAGTGTTTACCGCTATCAAGCTTTATAATGCAATTATAAGGCTCATTGAGGTACTTGTATTTGAATTAAAGTGCAACGTATGCAGGCAACAGCCAGCAAGAGACCTGTCACCATCTCTGCCCCTCTGGTCTGCATCACCTTGCACTCAGTAATTGCATTGTTAGTTCCTCCACAGTCCTTGTGCTCTCATCAGCAAGACGCAACAGCACAAGGAAACCATCCAAAAAAATGATAAAAATCTTTGTTCAAAAACATATTCCTCATGCAAAATCACCCATATGATCTGTTTGTTTATGTTACGAAGCTTCAGTCTTTCCAGAGGCTGCAGAAGGATCTGCTTGCTTTATCCACTTCTTTTCCGACTTGTTCCGCGAATCGGAATCAAACCCGCTTTTCCCCAGTGGATGAACCGCTCGCAGGAGGTGGAAAACACTGCTGTTATTTTCCCTGCCATATGCTCCAGAGACAGTTCCCAGCTCTGCACCAGATTATGCACGAGCCCAGATGCTCTGTCATCCGCTGCCACCTGAGAGGCTGAACAGAGATCTGTTTGGATGGCATGGGTGCCCAGTGCCTGGAGGGACTTGGATGTGGCTACAAAGATCTCGTAACGGTTGCAGCCACCAACAAATGCTCCAGAAATGACCATTGCTTGTTATCCATGCAGGGATCCGAGCAGCTCAGAAAGAAAACAAAACAAAAATCACACATGGCTGCTGCAGTTTTGCCTTCCTTCATCAGCTTCTCTCATAAGACTGTCAGCAGTTTGGCCATAAAACCCCGCAGCAGTTCGGCAGAGGATGATGGTGTCAGGAACATGCAGAGCAATGCTCATTTACAGTGAGCAGGTCTTCGTTTAAACAGGAAAAAAAAAAAAAATCCGGCAGCAGCTGTGATCTTCTAAAAGGTTAATGCCAAATTTCCAAAGAGTATTTGAGGCACTCATGCTTGCAAGCATACATGGACATGTACTCTCAAGTGTACTGTTTGTGCTGCTACCCTTATGCATCCAGGATTTGCTGCTTCGTGGTATCTGGGGTGCCAAGACATTTCTTTGGAAGATAATGAGAACATCTGCTACTTCAGCAGCAAAACAAAATACAGACTCAAAGAACAGGGAGAGGAGTAAGCAAAACAACTCCAAAGCAGGCAGGGAGATGTCTCTCCAGCCAGCAAGGAAAAGCCACAACTGACAGATGCCCACAGAGCTCCCTTTCTCTGGAGTGCCAGGAGCTCCCACACAGACCCCCACTGGCCTTCCCTGGCAGTGCCTGAGTGGGACCTGGCTGCCCAATAATTTGCAGGACAAGTAGGACCACAGGAGCCTGACACACTTGTGTTCTCTGGAACTGAAGCGTTTTGGGTAGGACAAGAGGGTTTGATAGAACAGGAGATAATGGCCTCAGGTTGCACCAGGAGAAGTTCAGGTTGGATACTAGGAAAGATTTCTTCTCAGAAAGGGTGGTAATGCATTGTCACAGCCTGCACAGGGAGGAGGCAGAGCCACCATCCTTGAAGATGTTCAGAAACCACAGAGATGTGGCACTGAGGGACGTGGTCAGCGAGCATGGGGAGGATGGACTTGGTGATCTTAGAGGTCATTTTCACCTCAGTGATTCTATGATTCTATACCAAATTTGCAGCAGCAATGGCTGGCTACACAGGATGCCACCCTCTATCCTGGAGGTGTGTGGGCAATCACGTATCTGTGCATCACCATATCTGCCTTTAGAAACTGGAAAACTCAACTACTAAGGCAAGAATGAGGAGTCGAGGGTCCCTTCCAGCATTTCCCAGCGCCCGTTCCTCTTGGCAAATCCACACACTGCTCTGTAGTGGCAGATGTGAGTAAATGCCTGTCCACTTCCTGTCCTCCTCACAACAGCTGAGGCTTAGCGGGAGCGTTTGACATATTTGGGTTTCATTAGCATAAATGAGTGCATTCCAAGCAGAACCGTGGGGTGCCCAGCAGAGTGTGGTATCTCCAGGCATTTGGGCTCTGTTGGAGGCGCAGCATGCAATAGCATGGCAGCAATGGGAGTGGGTGAAGCTGCAGTGCTTTTGGCTTTGGTAAATTGAGTGATTTCCCTTTCGGAGCAAAAGAGCTGCTCGGAAGAAACGGGACATGAACGTGTTTTAGTTGAAGGTCTGAACCTGGGGGAATGCGAAGCCAGTACTCACCAACGGAGCAAATGTCTGTGAAATGGTCCTCACCTTCTTCAGCATGAATCAGGTCGTTTTTGCTCTTCTTTATTGCGGCTCTTTTCAACACTGTGTACAAATTAAAGAGAAAATGCCCTGTGAGCTTTCAGAGCGGGTTCTCTCTCCCCCTCCCTTCTCTCTCTCCGTAGCCAGCACTTACTGCCCAACACCAGCTTCAAGCTCTCACACAAGGGCAAGCTGGAGCAAATTGGCCAACCCACAGCCTTGCAGGGCCTCTGCATGCCTCGATGCAGGGCAGTTCTTCACTTAACCTTCTAGATCCTGAAGGCTTGCCAGGCACAGTTCTGCATGCTTACACAGAAGCAAGAGGATGGGGGGGGGAGGGGGTCACTGCAGCTGCTGGACCTTTTAACGCAGCAGAAAGGCTGGGCAGGGTCACTGAAACTCCCTGAGCCCCCGTGGGTCATGAGATGAGTGCTTCCATCCATTAAAAACATTAATGCTGTTTACAGTGTGCACCATTAAGAAGTTAGCATTTACAGGGCTTGGGTACAGCTTACCACAGAGCGATGCCTTAAGCAGCGAAAACACTATGGTGAAAGCAACTGCTGCAAATCAGTGCACGCACTCTTAATAGCACCCACTGCACAACCCCTTCCCTCTGGGAACGTCCTAGCTCTTTGAGAACACATTTTGTTCAACTGCATCTTTTATCGGGAGGGTAAACATCGCTGCATCGGTTTACACGAAGGAAGGAGAACCGCAGCCTGAGGCTGGGAGAGGTCTGCACTGCTCACCCAGCACACACGGGGAAATGCAGGATGCTGGGCCCGCCACCACCTACCTGCAAACCTCGAGAACTAGCAGAAAAAAAATACGTCGACACAGTTTTGTCACAGCTTCAAGACATACAGGAACTAAGCACCGCTTGCTATCAGCAGTAAGACACCCCACGGTGTGGTGATACAGACTGGTCAGGAGGCACACACAGCAAGCCCACGCACTCCACAGCGACTGACATGGGGGTGGGTTCGTACAAGAAGACTCTCTCACCCTACACCAATTTCCCTGCCTTGCAAATGGATTCCTTCCTTCACAAATTAGTGCTCATGTCACCTCGAGGGAGCCCCCAGAACACCTCCCAGGTTCAGAGGCTTGAAGAACAGAGAATGCTCTCCACCCGCTGCTGTAACCTGGATTTCATTTTTACAGATAACTTCTTCTGTTACTTCCTTCCCCACCCAGCAGTAGGGCTGGATCCTCAGTCCCAGCAACACCAGCCTTAGCCTCCTTCAGGCTGCATCTCTGCCAGTAAATTCCAGTGTGTCCAGGGCCATCCCAGCAGTGGAACATAACCAACCCTGGCAGTAAAAGTTTTATAGCACTCATTGGCATGAAATGAACACCACCTCCTTTACCTTCTTTCCCCCCCCAAAAAAAATTCTAAATTTAGCAATTAGAGTGTAGAATTGTGGAATGCCTTGGATTGCAAGGAACCTCAATGATCATCTAGGTCCAACGTCCCTGCTGCGGGCAGGGTTGCCAACCAACAGATCAGGCTCCAGATCAGGCTGCCCAGGTCTCCATCCAGCCTGGCCTTCAACAGTTCCAGGGATGGGTCCATCCACATCCTCTCTGGGCACCCTGTGCCAGCACCTCATCACCTTCTGTGACAAACTTCCCCTTGGCATCTAATCTACATCTCCGCTCCTTCAGTTTAAAACCATTCCCCATCTCTACAGATACTTTGGATGCAACATTCCCATGGTGGAGGCTGAGACAATTTACTAGCAGAGAGGTGGGCTGCTCCATATCAGTTGCCCTCAAGGCAGGGAAGATGGGCTTAAGCTTACCAGCAGGGTGAAACCTTGGTGCATCTCTGAATTCTACGGCCTGCACCCACCTCTAGTTTGCTTACAGCACTCAACTCTTCAGCTCTTCCAGACGCTCATTGCAGCTCAAGACCACAAACCCTGGCTATACCCACACACCACCGCACAGACTCACACACACACAGAGAAAGATTTGCCAAGTGCACCTCAGCCCTGACCTCCTTCCAGCCCCAGGTCCTCCCGAGCACAGGTCACACAGCCAAGCCAGCGGCCGGGCATGGATTGCACCGGGAGCCACCGAGCTCAGAGCAAGGAACCAAAGCAGGTGGGAAGCATCGCTGGTGACCTGGGCGCTCGGGGCGAGGGGGATGCGCTGCCCCGCTTGTGCCACCTGAGCCCCTGATGATTTGCAATCCACTCACTGTTGTAGCTGCTGCCGCTGCTAGTCTCTGCCGGTGCCGTGCCTTGTTGAATCGGCCCTTCCGAGGCGGCCCTCCCTGACAGTGAATGGGAGGAGAAAAAAAAAGAGGGGGGAAAGGGAGGGGAAGGGAAAGGAGGAGACATGGGAGGACGAAAGATGGTCAGAAAAGGGAGAGGGAAGAGTCTTTAACTGAACTTTGACTGTCGTACCCTAAGAGCTCATCGGTCTCGAGGCACAGGGAGAGCGATCCCCGCATCCTCGCTGCACTGTGTCCAAAGCTCCAGCCGGCCTGACAGCTAGGGTCGCACGTCGGAAGATAGGATCACCACACCCTGTTATGTCTTACTGCTTACAAGTAACAGGGGTCTTAGTCTCTTTGTCACATCCGTTGGAAACTTCGGTTCAGAGCCCTGCCTTCTCTCAGTCAGTGCATTTCTCTCCTGGCATCGCCCTGCAGCCTATCCCCAGGCACAGCCGCCCCCACCGCACTGCGGGCCCCCAGGCAGTGCAGGGACCAACTGACCCCAAGGGCAGATCCCCATCCCAGATTTGGTGTCACGTAACTGCTCATCATCCACCTTCGACCTCAGAAAGGCCTGGGAAAAGGGACTCTTTAGCCCAACTTATTCCAAGTGCATGCAAGAGCGTGTTCCTCACACCCTTCTGGTTGCAGCAGAAAGCCATGTCAGCATACAGCAGGTGAATCTCTCGTGTTGCGGGAGGAAAACCACACAGCAAAACAACCTACCGTCCAGAGGAGATTTCTCTTCTGCGTTCTTGTCTTCCTCAGCCAGCATGACTTCCTCTGCAAGGAGAAAAAAAGCCAGGCTCAACCTCAGATTTATCACATCCCCACTCTAAAAACAGATGAGCTGGACGCAGCAGACCTCCATCTCAGCTGCCACCAGCCTTATCCCCTTGTATTACCCAGTTACACCAAGCCTGCAGAGGAAGGATGGTTCAGAGCTGTTTTTCTTACCCTGTGCCCTTCTTGCATAGGGAAGAACCTACACTACCTACAGCATTCCTCCATGATCTTCACAATGAGGCAGTTTCTTCACCAAGCTACCACACACAAGGGATTTCTGCAGAGCACGAACACTTTTCCAGCCCCAAGCAAAGCCAAAGCAGGTCCCTCTTGCCCATACATATTGGAGACTCCAAGGAGTGAAAGATATTCTATGGCCATCACCACACTTACGTCTCCATCAATAAGACCAGGACTTAACCTGGAGGGAAGGGATCCACGTCTCATGGCACAAGGCAACACAAGTGGGGCTGTGCCACATTGCAGGGGACAAAAGTCACCAAACAGCCATTGGATCAAACATTTGTCAAAATAAAATCAATGGCAAGGCTGCCACAGCAGAGTTCAGGCTAGCACAGCTCAAAGCACAACACATGTGAGATGCCACCAGTGACTTTCCATTCCTGTACAGTCTCCAAAATATGAGTTTGTACTTTCCTACACTACAAGAATTCGAAGAGCACTGGAAAAAAAAAGGGAAAAAAAAAAAACCCACCACCCCTCAATCAGAAATGACTCATTTCTATCCGCGTGAGAACGACCAAATTTCCCAAGGTTTCACAATGCAAATGTCATCGCCCAAGTCAGTTTGCAGCACACACCACACACTGCACCAACACTTGAAACCTCACAGTTCAGATGGTCTGAACTACAGATTTTAGCTTGCTGCTGTGAAATTATGTAAGGGTTTTCTAAAGGATGATCTGAACTGTACAAAATATTGAATTGGCAGCTGGTGAACTGCATACTTCCTCCTATTATTAAAAATGACAGATTCCACCATGTTTGGCAGAGATGTAATTTAGGATCCTACTAAGAGATCTGACACTGCGTTCCTACAAAACTTTACTCAAAACCCCATTTAAACCAGCCTAGATGGAAGGCTAACTACAGAAATAACAGCATACCACAGCCAAACATCAAAGTGTGAAGCTAAAAGAGCTGTCTGGAGGAATACTGGAGGGATCAGCACTACCACACAAGTCTTACATAACCTCTTTATTAATCATCTGGGGGAGAAAGAGAATGAATGATACATTAATAAGACAGCAAATTGAGACGGCTGGAAAATAATTTTAAGGACCTGGGGAGACAAGAAACCGAAGCAAAGGAGAACCAAACAAAATGCAAACTAATGCACCAGTGACACAGGAGAGGGAAGGGAATCAGTGGTGCTGGGAGAGGGTTAAAAACATCAACTGAGCTGTAAATCTGCACTTTAAAAGGCATGAAATCATTAAAAAAAAAAAAAAAGAAAACAATATAATTTGTTTTTTTTTTTTTTTTCTGGAAAATTCCTTGGTTGGGTTGGACAACAGAAATGGGTTTGCTTTTAGATGGCTCAAGAACCTTCTCTCTCAAAGCTCAAAATCAGAAGGTACTTCTGTAGCCTTGCCTAGGGAAAAGCTGCAGTGGTGTTCTGGGGTTAATAACACAGAAAGAGTTAAACAGGATTAATGACAATTAATAACAAACATGGTTGCCTTAAAACAGAACGGACGCTTAGATAAGATGGCCCTTTCCCAAAGGCAGCCAGACAAAGGGTCTGCAAATGGGATGGACAAACACAAGCTATGCTGTGGGACTGCTGGGAGCAGATGCACGGCCATGCAGGTGGTGAGCAATAAAAGTAATGAGCTAGCAAAGGGCAGCAGGTAGGCAGCTTCTCCTTAGGAGCTACACCAGATAAGGGCAGTGCAGGAGGTGCCTTCGTAAGGAAGATCTCAGCCAGACCTGGCATGCTTGCTGGTCAGTGCTCTGAGAGTTGCTGGCTTCCATCACATCATGTTAACAGTTATTTCCTGTGCTGCAGTAAAGAAAGAGCCTGTTGCTTAGGTGGAGACTCAATACTGCACCAGAATGGCACATACCAGTGGGACCTGAGAATTTGCGAGTAACAGTTTGACATCAGTATATTTCCACCTACAAAATACAGAGTCCTGAGATAACTCTGCAGACCAGATGAGCCCTTATCTCAAATCCAAGGCCATGATTTGATCCCTGACCTATCTCCCTCCACAGACATTCCTCATCCAAGGCTCAGCTCTGCTGTCACTTCAAAATAACCAAAGACTCCATCTCATCTATGCATTGCCTCAAGCCCAACTCCTCCATTCCCATTCCTCCACAGTCACTCCCATCTGTTTTACATCCACCAGGAACTGCAAGATCACATCCACCCCAGTGGGGCTTTAAGAGGTTTCAAAACCTGCTAATAAGACAATTCAGCAGAAAGAAATGACATTGTTACTGGGATTTTTTTTTTAACCAGGGAGCATCCTTAGCAGACGCTCAGAAGTCGCATTGCCTTTAGTCATCACTGTAAAAGAGACTGGCAGAAGATAATTAGGGAGCCTGAAAAACCTCCAAAGAACAGTTCCTCTACGTTAAAAGGCATATTCAACAAAGACACAGTATTGTATCAGCAACTTCTAGCCTCCAAACAAAGGCATGGGATCTTCACTAGGAAATCAGAGCAAGGAGCGTCTCGGCTGTGAGATTCATTGCTGGTCATTAAGCACTGACAATGCTCAGCACATCGACGGACTGGGAATCAAGGCAGGCATCCTGTACTGAAGAAGGGAAGGGAAGTGAATTTAACTAGTGAAGCTTGAAATATGTTAAGTAGATAAAGCAAATAAAATGCATCTCTTAGAAGAAGGCCCCATGCTTTCACCCTAATTAGTGAACCCTAATTTGTCTTTCTAGTAACTATCCTCTCTGGGCATCTCACAGGTGTTGCTGACAGTTTTCGTGGATATAAGGTTACTTTTCCCAGCTGTATCAAGGGCTTGTTGCTCTGCTTCTTCTACAGAAAGCTGAAACCTGAGGCTTGCAAAGCTTTGTTGTGTCAGGAAATGGCCTGGGTTGATGGCAGTCACAAACATGGGTAGCTGGTTGGACCCAATGATCTTAACTGTCTTTCCAACCCTAACCATTCCATGTTACAGTGAGCCAAAAGAGAGAACTGCAACCCATTCACAAAGCCTGCTTACTCTAGAACAAAAGAAAAGCTCAGAATCAGTGCTGTGTGAAAGAGATGGACTGGCAAAGAATTAAAATGCAGAAGACAGGCGACTTTCTGAACAGAAAGGCTTTGAGTCCCTGAGCAGTGTGTTTTCAAAATGATGCATGTCCTTGTAAGATAAGAGAAACACCTTCAAAAGAATACTTGTGGACCTATAAGCTCTTTATTCCATGCAGAGAACCCAGTTCTCTGCTCTCCCATAGAAAGGCAGTATGACAGCCTCACAGCTGCTACAGTTTCAAGGAGTTTAACTGAAAAAGCAGGGGTGGCAAAATCATTTGCATGGATTACATTGCTCAACTTCACCGTGTTTTGATTCCTCTGAAAGGCACAATTTCAAACTGACTTCCTATTGCTTCTGCACAGAGTCAAAAGAATACATAAAACAAAAAGCACAAGGAGCAACCCTGTCCTAACAAGCAGCAGGTGGGACAGGACAGGGCTGCTGACCACCACTAAGACTTCATTTGATATTGGTTGGACTGGAGAAGTGCCATTTTATGAGAATGGTTCACCTGTGCCTGGAGGAGAGGTGGTGGTAAGCATTGCTTTTTGCAGCTCTGTCAGCTGATTGCCAGCATTGAGAATCACAGAATTGCTCAGGTTGGAAAAGACACTCAAGATTGTCTAGTCCAAACTCATTTCAACCATGCTACCCTAACAACCCTCTGCTAAATCATGTCCCTGAGCACCACATCCAGATGGTTTTTAAACACATTCAGAAGGGAAGAGTTGGTCTGTTTAAAGGATTTGCTAAAAACAGAAAACTGACTTCTTCTGTTGACATTCAAGTTAGGACTACTGGTCCATTTCCAATTGATCCACACCTTTTGCTTCTAAGTAATACATACAGTCAAAATGTACGGGTTTGACATGGCAATTACTGCATGAGTTACTGGCCTAAATTCTGTGAGAAGCAAGAAACTGCTATTCAACCATGGCTTCTGGCCTGAAACTCACAGCACTGGGCATCTGACTGCTTTGAAGACACTGCCAGGTTTGTAAGACATGTAGTGCAACGGGACATTTTTTCACGACATCCCCAAAAGGACTCCACTGAGTTACAATTTCCCCCAGAGGGTGGTGACACACTGGAACAGGTTGCCCAAGGAGGCTGTGATGCCCCATCCCTGCAGGCATTCAAGGCCAGGCTGGATGTGGCTCTGGGCAGCCTGGGCTGCTGGTTGGGGACCTGCACACAGCAGGGGATTGAGACTGGATGAGCACTGTGCTCCTTTGCAACCCAGGCCATTCTGTGACAATTTATGGGCACTGTACATGAAATCTCCTGTTATTTCACTTTAAAGATATCTGAACTCTCCTGAACATCCCACGTCGTCATTCTTCAATGCACACATGAGAAGTAGATGAAGGAACAGCCTCATCAACGATCTTTGATCCTATTTCAAGAAAGTAAATCCAACTTCTAAGGGAACTGATTGGACAGTGGGTTGCATTTTTCTTTTAAGTCACACATGTCTAAATTCAGCACTGCATTAGCTGTTACAATTCTTCCCTTTGTTCCCAGCCCTTCAGTAAATAAAGAAGGGATTCGTTAAGCACTCCATCAATTAAGGCTTCCTGTATTAAGCATAAGAAGTAGTCACACATTAAGGATGCCATTGTTTAAAACACCTTTGTAGAGATTCCTCAAGCAGATTCACTGCTGATTATGTTAAACAATCCTCATCTAAAATAGCCTAAGCTACAACTGCTTCAGTTTCAAGTACAGCTGTACTTCTGGTGATTAATCAAGTACTGAGCTGGCACCAAAATGTTTCAGCTGTGCCAAAGTACCTCCTTGAAAACTTTGCAGGTATTATTTATTAATATCATCTTCCTTTTTAGGGCCTGATTTCATCACTGGAAAAAAATAATAAAAAGTACTCCTAGAAAAAAGGGCAGATGTATGGATGACAGTCATCAAACATCCAGGCTCCTAAGGAGTTTCATTCTTACAACATCAGTGTCTACTAAGATAACTCATTAGGCCAAGTCCAGAACATGATCGAGTCACATAGCATTTAAGAAGTAGAAAACAAGGACCCGTTGTTTTCTTCAGGTGTACAACAGACTGCAATCTCAGGATAAAAAGGAATTAATGGCAGCAACCTCCAGAGTTTATCAGAATCACCTGTTTGATGCAACGCATGCAGCAAGAGGTAACAAAATTTTATTCACTTTCCAAGTAAAGATGACTCTAAGAAACATTAAAAGTGACTCAAAAGTGGTCAATAAACGATGAGCAGAATGCCAAATCAAAATCACTGCTGACAAACAGGAGGTAGCATACAGATGGAGGAATATTTCAGTCATTCAAATACTTCCCTTGGTACTAAATGAGTTACAGCTGAGAACCTGAGCATGACGGAGAACAAGGAAACCTCCCTTCCAGCTCCAGGATATGAAAACTGTTACAGAGCAAAGTCAACCAGGTTAAGACTTCCCTTAAGATGCTGGAACACAGCTTTCCATTCTTCCTACCTTGCATCAAAAATAAATGAGAGAAAAACAAACAAACAAACAAAATGCTCAGAGATAGATACTATAAATATTAGAAGCCTGGAGAGCCTTCCATGGGAAGGGAAGCAATGAGCAGATTGGCTCTGCACGCTTTACAGCAGAAAAAAATAAGGTGAAACAAGGTAGAAACGCAGCAGAAAAAGAGGAGTAATAAAAAGAAATATACTGCTGTGCAGAAAGACAGCACATGTAAAATTAAGGAAGAAAATATTTTATCTTCATTCAAACCAACTATAAATGTGTGGAACTCCTTGCTGCAGGATTCTCTGAAGTCAAGGATGCTAAAAGGATTTAAAAATAATCAGATATTTACATGATTAAGAAATAAAAACCTCCACAGTTCTATTAGAGTAGGACATCAAGACCTTCTGCTCTTCCATTTATGCAAATATTTTGTAACACATCTATGAGTTGTTTCTGCCTTTCCTGCAAAGCAATCTGGTTTTGCTTTGGCCATTGGCCCACAGTGAGGACAAGGAGTCAGGTTTGGAAATTCCTGATGCACAGCATCATAGCTGAAATCCCAGCCTCAAAAACACCAGAAATGGGAAGTCCCAATTGGTTGCACAGTTCCACATTTCAGTGCCTGAATTCCAAACACTTGGTTCTCTCTTTGGCCTAGCCTTGATGCTATATTTTGTATTTAAAGATTTACTGGCATTATGTTGATTTTTATTATTGTTATTATTCAGCTGTACTAGAAAGCCTTTTTATATTCCTATCATATTTTCAACAGTGCCTTAACAGGATGATTTTATTATTCCCTAATTCAGCTCGTTTGCATACACTGCTTGTTCTGTAAGATCTTCTGAACCTCATGTTATTAAACAACAAAAAAAAAAAGGTATTTTAGAGCAACTTCACTGTATATTCATGTGGCATTTATGCAGAACTGGCAACACAGAAATCAAAAAGCCAGCTGTTCCCACAGGGACTCAGTGCTTGGAGCAGAGTAGCTGCGCTTCATAACTTCACCTCAACTTTCAGACCTCGAGGTTCAGCTAACAACCTCCTCATGGTGGACTGTCTCCAGAACAAAACAAAGCAACGCACATCCATGCAAAAAAAACCATAATTTTTATCATGTTAATGGAGAAATTGGGTTTTAGAGTCCAAGAAAAGACAAAATCCTTAAAAGCAAGATGGCAGCAGACTCAAGGCAGAACCACAGCACTCTGCTCCAGCTAACCAATAAAGCATTAATCAATCTGAATTTGGGCTAGCAAACCAGCTGCAAATAAATGAGAAAACAAGTTCCAAATTGAAAATAAAGCAAATGGTGCTTTGTTTTTCAATCCTACAGTCACAAAATTAAGGGGAGATAAAGTGTGGCTGCTTAATTGAGGGCAGTTGCTGTTGAGCAGGCACAGTGATAAAAGTCAATACAATTGGCACTCAGTTGTCACTGGGGAATAATGGGTTCAAAGACACCATACAGTTCAGAGCAGACACAGAGCAGCAGCCCACAGATTTGTCAACACATCACATGCCAGTTCTGCCACTGGCTCATCAACTGGCATCCAGCAAGTCACCACACAGTACTGGGCCTCAGTTTCCCTAGTCGCAGTGGGCAGGGATTAAGTTGACCTGCCTACAAACGTGCCTGAAAATCTATTTGTGAAGCCACCACTTCTTTTTCTCTCCATCATTTTATTAAAAGGCATTTTCACTTCACTCCATTGTTTCAGCTTCGCAGAAATACAAGCGCGGAAGCGAACGTTAATGAATTGCACTGAGGTTATGTCAATATATATCTCAAGGATTACTGGTAATCTTTACAGTCCAATAATTAAAAAAAAAAAAGAAAAAGAAAACACGCTCTTTTTTTTTTTTTTTTTTGTTAAATCAAAGTATTTAGGTCTTTGTTAAAGTTAATCACTGCTTGCAATAAAGCGTTACGTTCAGTTATAATCGTTATAAAGCAATGTTAATGTGTGCTGGGGTAAGTTTAATGAAAGTAGCTCATAAAAATGACATTGCAGTGTATTTTGCCATCATAGCAACAGAGGTTTATGAAATAGCTGCAGTGGAAAGTAAATAAAATATAAATGAGTCATGTAAGGCAACAATTTCGCCACAGTGGAAGCTCAGCACCATATTGCTTTTTGTTTTGTGCTGTTTTAAGACAATTAATGCCTTAATGTTTTGCTCTCAGCAATAAAGTTAGACCAAGCTCTTTATTTGTGCTTAACCAACCTGGGGTCATCCACAGTAACTTCAGTGTGACACCTTAACAAAACCAGTAAGTGCTGGCTGGGCCATGCCCAGTCTTGGATGGTCAGATGCACCAAGGACAGACCCTTAACATCATCAAACTATACATGCCACACACCTTACTGAACCAACATCAGCAGTCCCTACTTACCTGCTTTGAAGATCCACTCCAAATATCCATTTAGCTCCCGTTCTATTTGCTGTTGCCTACGGAGTTTCAGGAAAGCTCGACGGTTTTCTACCCTCTCTCGTTCTTTGGCAAATTCACTACAGAGAGAGAAGAATGAGAAAGTACATCACACAAGGTCAGGGAAGACATGCAGCTTCTCCTTCATTTTTGGGAATAACTTCACCAAGACTGAAAGCAGCAGCAAGAAGAAACCACAGCACACTACCCATCAGCGTCCAACAAGCTACCACTTTGATTCCACTGGAAGCAGAATATTTGTCACAGAAGCACCAGCAATCTTTGAGTTTTTGAAGAGATCTGCTCTTCCCAGTTGGCTTTCCTCGGAGTTTTCCCAGGCTTAAGCCAGCTTTGACAAACAAGTCCAACGATAGCTGTAGGTGAGGTTGGGTATTCTGGAGTAAGGAGAAATACCCCAGATGCTCTAGGTTGAGGGTAACAGTGATCTCATTTTGCTGAAGTCATATGGAAAGCATCAAATCGCCTCAATGGGACTATATAAGGGAGTGGGTCAGGAAGTAAACAAATAATGCAGGCTGGAAAAAGAGAAAAAAGACACTCCACCAGTGCCAAAACCTTGTCCAAGTACATCCTACAGCCTACTTTGAAATGATGCTAAGGCAGCAGTGCAGCCACCACTCCCACACACACACAACGGGGCTTTCTCCAGACTAATCTCTACCACCTCTAAGGAGCACCTGATGCTCCAGGTGAGGTGACCTCTGCAGGTACATGTGCTCATCTACTGCTTATATGCTTCTGAAGCAGCCCCTACAATCCCCTGCTCTAAGCACACACCAGTGAGCAGTTACAGGAGTGAATCCCACAATAGCTTAACCTATATGGTTAACCTCAATGAAGTTTTGTCTCTCACATATACCAGTGCCCTACTCTTTGTCCCATTTAACAACACTGCTGTGTCCTTCCCTGCAGGCCTTACTTAACTTTGCTGAAGTCTCCCCTCGTCACCTATTTGTTATCCACAAACACTTTTCAGTTAGAATCTAACAAGGAACAGGAGATGGGAGGAAGGAGGAAGAATGGAGAACAAGGAACTGCAAGTGCCAAAGCCAGCTTCACATTCACAGCCTACATTTCAGCCTTCAAAGCTGACGCTTCTGCTTAATTTGGCAGGACTGACCCAAGGAGAAGGGGACTGCAGGAGAACTCGGCTCAGCACTGTAGCACACACCTCTACAGCCATGATGTGAGAGCTGCAATGAGCCACGATGCGATCCTCATTCCCCTCTCCTGAGTCCCTAGGCAGAGCCATCAGTGAAATGGAGGAAGCTGAAACATCACTCTTCACTGACAGCTAGCTGCTCCTCAGCATTCAGCACATCTGCCTGGGGACTCGGGTACCTGCACAGGACAGCTGGGATGCCCATTTTCTCCCTCTTCCTTTCTAATGGTCTCATTTCTCGTTCAGCACCCACTGGTGAGGGCCACAGACCTCCTCCTGAGTGCTGCTCCTCAGGGGTTGGTACAGGGACTGGCACTGCTGGGAAAGCAGATCTCAAGAGATGACCCAAACACGTCGGGTTTCACTGACTGTCTTCTGAGCACAGCAGAGCTCTAGCAGGTTGAAGACTGGAGAGTCCTGAGGCACGGTCTTCCTAGTGGAGGAAAGCATCGTGGACCTTTCTCCTACCTCACGAGATTCAACTAAGCTGGAGTCTGTCAAAAGATTTTTTCTTTATGAAATGCGTTAATAAAAGCATGCTTCTCTCTCCTCCACTGCATTCATCATCATTCAGGAACGGAAATATTCCCCATCTGCAGTAACTGGAAAAATCTCAGAATTTCTTCATGAGAGATTTTCGGCAAATTTTCTGAACGATTTCGAAGAAAAGGGGAACAAATAATAAAAATGGCATATTTCATCTAGAAATACTTAAGCTGAAGGTTTTCTGCCTGTTCCAACAGAAGCTTGGAAAACCCCATAGGAATGTTTCATAGCAGTAAATAAATCTACTTTTTTATCCAGCATAATTGCTATTTATGCCACTGACTTTAAAAATGAAAAAATATCCCAAGTTTTCTTGGAAATCTTAGCAGAAAACAGGCTGCCTCCTGCCCAGCTTTACATCCAGGACGTTCATGATAGCAGCTAATTCTGGAATGAAGAATATTAAATAACATTCATCCACTCTTATCCATCCTAACAGCTACCGTGTGCCCCAAGATGTCCCCCAAAACATTCCTCTTTCAGCACTGCCTGGATGGGTGTTAGGAGGTGGAGAGCTGGAAAGGTTGGCACTCCTACACACAGCACAGCATCAGGAGACACTGCTTAGGATGAAGATGAGATCTGCCTGGATAGATGACTAGAGTGCATTTTAGTTAAAACATGACAGTTGCAAACAACTGATCCTACAGAGACAGCCGGAGTAGACATGAACGTAAGGGCATTCATCATGGAAACCATATGCCATCCCAGCCAAGCTCAATGTGTCACATTTTTCTCCTAAAGACTGGTCGGTGCTTAAAATCGCCAGGAAAATGAATGATTGTTACTTGTCACATTGGTGGGAGGAAGAGTGAAATCGATCATGATGTAAATATGCACTGGAATGGGCACTTCAGGGAAACTCGAGAGTTTCCCAGTCACAAGGGAGACAAGGTCAACTCATGAGTAACCATCAAGGTCTATAAAAATATTATACTCCAATGACATCCTTACAATTAATTTATCCATGCCAGTCTTAAGTGAAAAACACTGTCACACCAATTGAAAAGGAAAACAAACAAAAACCCTGATCTACATCCTCTGTTCAATTCTCCCATACGACAGCTGAACTGGAGTACTGTGCAACAGGCTGCCTGGTCTGGGGTTTTGTGGCGTGCACCCAGGCTTGCTGCAAGGCTAATCACATCATTCAACATCTGTAATTCATGCTTTCCCAGTGGAAAGAAGACAGAAAAGCTTCCCACTCAAAAGAGAGAGGTGATACAGCATTGCTGTCATTGCTAGCTCTAATAGTGGTGGTGATTAGCGATTCACGATAATGACATAGGTAATTAGCTCCTCATTCAGAACAGTACCACTGAGCTACACATGATCTCATGAAAACTCATCTCTTATGCTGGGAGAAAAGCCTTCCTCTACTGAATCCAAAGCACTGTTCAGAGCAAACAAAAAGGAGCACAAATCTCAGGAGGACTTCAACAAGAATTCCCAGAAAGGAGTTTAAAAAGTCTTCAGAATTTTATGTCTAGAACAACAAAAGAAAGAGTTTAAGAACCAGCTTCATCTCGAGTCCAAGTATTTCAAAGGAATGAGCAAAAATGAGGCACACGGGGGACATGAGCCCCCCAAAACTGCCAGAGAAATTCAAATGGGTGATTTGCTAGTTAAGAAACTAGCCAGGCCTACAGATGTTTGACTGCCTGAGTCACTCAGTGGCCAAGGGGAATTCTCCAAGTGGAGAAAGAAAATTGGCCAAGACCAAAGGCTTAATTTGTGAGCTTTGTTACTTGAACATGGAACGGGGCCCAAGAACAGACTTGTTATTTGACAGCAGCCTGTTAAACAGCCCACATCACTCAGGAGCAGTGAGGGACGGGCTGGAGACAGCTGATGGAATACACCAACTCCTTTGGCTGCTCAACACGCGAGTTGCAGGAGCATCACTGTAAGAGACACAAGCCAGAGGAGCAGCAGTTGCACAGACTCACTTGTTTTGTGCCACTCAAGGACTATCTGGGGGGGGGAGAGACCATGGAAAGAACCTCAACAAAAGATTCCGTGCCAATTATCTACCTAACTACCTGTAAGCCTTCAACAAGAACAATGCTGAACTATAAACTTCCATAGGATGCTACAGTAGGAACCCAGAGATACACTTATAGGACAGCTGACAAATGAACATGCTGGCTGATAAAACTTGTAAGATGGACATGAAACTACCTGCATTTTTTTTTTTTTTTTTTTCAGTAAAAAACAGATTTCTTGTGCTTCTGCTCACTCAGGGGCTGTACTTTACTCACCAGATCCTCCAGAGCCCTAGGATAACCTCCAAGCACAAGGGAAGAGAGAATCTACGTGCAAGCAGAAACACTTAATGGGGTTTTAAGGGTGGATATCCACTTCCTACCATTTGTTCTGGTTAATCAGCTGTGGGACAGAACTTGAGTTAATTTTTAGTTTCATTCTCAGGTCTTTGTGTTGAAGGGGTTTGCCACCTTTTCCCAATCCAACCAAACCCCTACTTTGGTTCGATAGGACAAGAGGCAACGGCTTAAAGTTGCAGCAGGGGAGGTGTACGTTGGATATTAGGAAAAATTTCTTCTCAGAAAGGGTGGTGAGGTATTGGAACAGGCTGCCTATGGACATGGTGGAATCACCATCTCTGTAAGCTTTCAAGAAAAATTGATGTGTTGCACTGAACAGCATGATGTAGTGGTATGGTGGAGGTGGGCTGATGGTTGGATTTGATCTTAGTGGCCTTTTCAACCTTAACAATTCTGTGATTTTACTGCTTGGGTGAAGCTCGTTATGACAGCATGGTAGGCAGGTTCCTGCTGAGCCCCTCCTTGTGCTCCTGCCATCCCGCAGTGCTGCAAGGCTCCTGGGATTGAATTTCCTGCCTCACCCGCGCAGTCCTGCGAAGCCCCTTGCAGCTTGATTTAGCAGGGCCTGATCTGGTTAAAAACCCCAGCATTTCATTCACTAACCACATCAGCACCCAAGTGTCTACAGAAAAGCAGATTCTCGCTCCAGGGAAATAATTTGTTCTGCAGGTTCATATCTCTGTCTTTTGTCTTTCTGAAGAACAGTAAATCCTTTGTAAGTGGAAATCTCTGCTGGATGCGGGAAAAAAAAAAAAACCCAACACCTTTATGGCTGTAACTGTTTATGCAACAAAGGACACAAAGCCTTGGCAGTGCTAAACATTTATCTCACCTACTGCAAACCTGTACACTGAGAGACAAAGACACAGAGAGAGCCCTGGCAGAAAGGGAGCACATGGAGAGCCAGCAGGAGCAAGATGGACACTGGGGCTGAATTGCTTACGGCAGCACACAGGAGGTCAGGAGTCAGGGGGGACGATGGGGGGGAGAAGAGAGCTCAGTGTTC